TCAGGTGCATTTTTATAGAGTTTACAAACAAGTTTTTAAAAAAAAGTGTATCTTTTCAACAGAAATACACAGATCATATTGTCTTTGTTACACTGTACATCTCACCAATGGATTCCTGTTTTATTCTTTATTATATGTTAATGAAAACTCTGTAATAATGCACCCACTAGAAGTTATTGAAGAACCTAATTTCGTGTCAACACCTAATAATTTCTGCTAAGTTTTCATTGCTAGTCTTGTTGGTTTAAATCTTGAATACTGAATTAAGAATCGACATCACAGCACTCGGGACACTCCGTCCCCATTTTCAGCAGCAAGCGAAGAGTTAAAATCCGATAGTACCAGTAACTGTCTGATTGTATATCCGTCTCGCCTTCACCTTTACTGAGTTTTAAGCGCCCACCTTGTAACTCCCTGCAGTGTCATTCTCCTTAAGCTGTAATGATCTATCTGTGCCTCAGCACTGTTCACTCGCTCCCAAATGGCCCTCACAACATCCAGCTTGTCATACATCATTTCACCACCTAGTGGGGTAGAACTGGTCAGTTTATTTCCCAACACACCCACAAGACCTGGAGAAAATATCCAAAGGATGCTGACTACCCGGGACCTTTGAAGTGATGCTTGCCATTCTCCATGGAGCGTACCAGTCTCCCCCTTTCTCAACATGCTCTGTGAGTCAGTTACAATCATGGCATGTGTGTTCAGCTGATTCTCAAGCCAGCGGAAGGCAGCAGTAACAGCCTCCACCTCCATTCTCAAAGTAGACATTGTGATTCTTGGTTTCTCAGCAACTAAACTGAGAATACGTAATTGATTCCTAAGTTATACTGACTAAAAGCTCTATGTATTTAAATGTATATATTTGAAATGAATTCACTTTTGAAATTTAAAAAAAAATAGACATGCATTCATAACAGTTATACTAAAGATCTAACAATTTAGAAGAAACAATTTGACTTGTTTTTCCATTTTGGCTACTGCTTTTAGGTTTGACACTAGTGCAACTTGAAAAGTCACAATCTGATAGGCCTAATTTCAGACAAGTTCAACACCTACAAAGTAAGTTATAAATCAGGCACATAAATGGCTCCACCAATTACAACCTGGCTCAACCTGCTGTCCTAATCAGGTTGGGAGATGAAATTCAGAAGTGCACATCTGAACAATCTGTGAAGCTTGAATGATTTACAAACATGTTTAACAAACTCTGATCTGCTTGAAAAGTTGTAAAAAAAAATAAAGTGGATTATGATTTTATTAAATTATGATAGCAGAGACTATTTGAAGATTTAAATATGAAAAGTTATTGTATAAAGAGCATTACATACTGATTTAATGAATGATGAACAAATTGTGGATAATCAAATAATTGTATAAGCATTAAGAATGTTATATAAAATAAATTTTATAACACAGTGTTTAGTAAAAATTAAAATGTAAACATGGAAAGACTGAATATAAGTACTTACAGTTATTATTAGTTTATTAAAATATTGAGCAGTAGTAAATCAAACAGTGGGAGTTCCTGTGTCAGCACGTTTTGCTTCACTGGATAATATGAACTTAACAGCTTTTTTTTTTAAACTTGTCTCCCCGTGAGAACGTTACAGTGAAAAGTACTTCCACTAACTATATCTATGAGCCACCACTGATGTCACATGTTTTGATGACAAATTTGCCAAATTGTATTATGAAAATTACAAAATAATTGTCCTTTGTTCTGCACCTCACAAACATTAAGTGCAGATATGGCATCTTGCTTCCTTCTCCTCCTTTTGCTCTTCCTCCAGCTACTCAGTAGAGTATTGATCGCGATGTAGGTATCACCTGTGTGCTCTTTCTGATGTGCTATGTAAGTTGGTCTCCATTCTTTAGGCTGTTCTTGATGCTGTCATTCCATATATTGCATGGTTTTCCCCTTGCCCTGTGTTTATCGTATTTCTTCAGCTTTGCTCTGTGTGGATGCTGGCACCAGGGAGTTTTTATTAGATAGCCAAACCATTTTAACTGTATGGCTGGTTTCAGTCTTAATTTTATTTTAAATCTTTTTATTTTTAATTTAATCTCTTCTTATTACTCTGTGAGCTCATTTAAGACCCCTCAGCCTTGTTACCCTAACCACTAACCTCTAACCCTGAAGATTACAAAATGTGAATAAGAATTATTCCACCTTAAAGCCGGCAAGTCACTTCATAATGAGGATGCTGGCAAATAGGTGTCATGAAAACATTTTGTTTAAAAAAAAAATTTGTTTCCAGAATCGTGTTACCTGGGTATAATTATTTGTTCGTTTTAAGCAAAGGAGTATAGCTTGTATTACGTCCTCACAAACAGGGTTAAATTAGTATTTTTCATACTATCTAAGGCTTTGCCTTATGCAACTGATGTGCCATCATTGTAGTTTTCTTCCATCCTCTCTTCCAAACTCTCCAGCATAGTTGTGGAATTCTTTTTAGACCAAGGATCAGGATCTGTGTTTGAAGAAGAAATAAACAAGGCTTTTGTTGGTTTGACAGGCATGCCATCAGCTTCCGGATCATGAAGATTGTTTGTGATTATATCAGGGTCTGCTTGAACTTGTCGTGAATCTGTCGAGATGTAAGAAAATGTGTTTGCAACGCTTAATAAAACGGTATGAAAGTAAATAAGACAAATCTGAAACAAGTTTGTGTGTTCAAGTTCATGAGTATTCTTATACATTCAGATACAGACTCGTTGAAAAAAATTAATAATGCTTCAAGGGAAACTATAATGTAGAATTGCTCAATAAAACAAAACAAAAAGGTATTTCGGAAGATGGAGAATATTTTGTGCAACATAACTTTCTCATTTGAGATGAGACAGAAGGTTCTTAAGTCCTACCTAGAGCCAAAGCTGATGTACGGAAGTGCATCATGGAAACATTAACTACTAAAAATGCAGAAATTACAGTACGTGATTTAAAAAAAAAAAAAAATTTAATTGACAAATGGCGAGAACACCATGGACTTATAAAAGGAGGAAGGAACCTATCGTGAAAGAAATTAACTCACAAACAGAAATGATTATCCATAGCAGAAGAAGAAGAAGAAGAAGAAGAAGAAGAAGAAGAAGAAGAAGAAGAAGAAGAAGAAGAAGAAGAAGAAGAAGAAGAAGAAGAAGAAGAAGAAGAAGAAGAAGAAGAAGAAGAAGAAGAAGAAGAAGAAGAAGAAGAAGAAGAAGAAGAAGAAGAAGAAGAAGAAGAAAACAATCTTTATTTGTGGGGGCAAATCATTAGTAAGGTGAAACTGGAATACATCGCTACAAAAGGCAAGTAAAGTGGGAGGAAAAAGAGAGGGGGAGGGGGGATATGGCATGCGTAACATAGTCTTTTTTATATAATTAAATTCTTTCAAACCACCCTTTTGTTACACCATTTATCTGTCTAATCTTTTTTAACATAAAACCTAAAACAGATGACACCTTTGCTGAATGTCAGAAATATAAGAGCATTGAATACTATCTACTACTTTCCAAGAAGTGTAAACCCTAGAGGACTTCCCTTAACGAATATCTATCTGCTTGCTGCATTACGCTTATGACAACCGAAAATATGCAGGGAATAGATAACTCTAGAGAACTGCGGGGAAGGATTAAACAGTTCATTACAAGATTAAAGGTTCGCATATGAGATGTTAATATGTATGAAGACAGAATCAGGTATATTCTCACATACAGATTACACAATATAATTATCATTTTTACTTTAAAAGCACACTCCGTTTACATCAAATTTACCAATCCGTACTCAGCTGATGTGTGTGCTATGCAGTATTAAATAACTGCAAGCTATTTTAAAACAGGAAAAATATATACCGCAAATAGGTTGAACTGGACCATCATTAATTAACTTACTACTACAACTACTACACAAACTTTATCTCAGCAACTTACATTTAATATATTGATCAATAGCCATTAAGTATTACAACTGTGTCGTGGGTTCGCTCCCTGGCAGAGCCGGATTTTTTTTTCTTTCAAAAATGACTTTGACTCCCAGGTCGACCCAGCCTTGAGTGGGTACCGGATGCAGTCCCGGAAAGTAAAGGCAGCCGGTGTGATGCTGACCACATCACCCATCTTATGCAGATTGGTCTATAAAAATATAGGTCTAGCCCTATATGCCTAAAGGCGAGTGTTGCGTGCTCAGTTGTGGGAGTTGTAATATTGTGCAGGACAACACGGTAGGAATGGTGTTGTCGGGAGTCCACCAAAATGTTCGGTTATCTGTGTCAATATCTGGCACAGTGTTGACTTAAGCCAGAAAATATCTGTCGGTTGGGTCAATATTGTGGGAAGAGGCTTGGCACGGGATGGACCGGGTAATTCACGTGGTATTAGCCAGCGTGGGCTAACTATCGTGACTTGGGCGAGACGGTCGCTTTTGCACGGAAGAAATGTGGCATGCGTGACAGCGTGCGCTTCGTATGCTCGGGCAGCTCACGGGCAGCTGATGTGCTGTGTGCACATGCTGGAGAACGAGTACTGTGACGTTTTCAGTCAGTCGATGTGTCTGCTTCGTAAAGAGCAGCAGAGGTCCAGTTGATTAGGAGATAACCTGTTCATCTGTACAGTGAGCCTGGAGTTGCGGGATGCTGTAGACCTAGAATTGTAGCGGTCGGCTCATGTGTAGTGGCAGCTAGTCAAGCTGTCCGGGAGAGTGACGCTATATCTAAGAAGTGAGTGAAGGGAGTGTTACATGTTAGCCAAGACAGATGTCAGTATTACTTCGCTTACCTTGTTGTGCACGTGAGGGCTTGTGGATACCTTCGGTGATCGTAACAATAAATGTGCTTGTATGGGGGACATTACGTTGTTGAGTTTTCCTGCGAGCTGTGTATGTTCGCGTGAACTGTATCTTTAGACACTAAGCCGTGTGCTGGTTGCAAGTTAGCACACAACAGCTTGGAAAAGGGACCTATACTTTTTTTTTTTAAACTTATTACATTTGTATCTACCTATTTAAAAAGCAGCCTTACTTGATTTATCCAAGTTTCCAAATGCTTTCTTTGACTTTTTTTTCTTCTCCACTACAAGATGAAAAACACATCATGAATTAAAAATTCTGGAGAAAAAATTAGAATATCTGTTTTTCAGCCATGAGACATTTTGGGTTTATTATAAGTAAAATAAGTAGGCCCAAAGGTCCCTTTACACACAAGTGATGCGTCGTGCATATGAGGCTAGACTCATATTTTCATAGACCAGTAGGATATGTAGTCAGCATCACCATTGCTGCTTTACTTCCCAGTACTTTACTTGGTACCCATTTAAGGCTTGGTCGCCTCGGAGCTAAGGTCATGATTGAAAGAAATATCTGCTCAGACAGCTGGAACACACCGGGGAAAAAAAAAACGGGACTGTCAGAGAGAAAATGGAACGTATGGTCACCCTGTTTCTAAGACATCAATTGTCTTACTGAAAGTTGTTGATTTTCGTATCGTTAGCCTGTGGTTGTGACGTCACACCAAGTTGATGTCATTAACCTCAAGGTCTATATTGAAAACTGTCATGATTAAAGGATCTTGCTTACGGCATGGGAAACTATCAGTTTTGTCTGCCTGAGATCATTTGAGAATCTCAGCCTGGTGAATAGTCTACTGCTTCAATGTTGAGCTCAGTTTGTGTATGCTGGAATACATCCATACTTTTTGTATTGCCCTATGCTCCGCTTTTCCATTTGGGAAATTATAAATCTCAACCTGGACCTGCAACCAACAAAGCAGATCCCAGAAGCCCTGCCCAACCTCCAGAGAAGTTGTAATGAAAGCGCCTGTAACGGTTACATCTAGCCAGATGTAACCTGCAGCTCTATCCTGGTAAGGAGGCCTTTTGAATCAGCGAAAACAAACTCCAGAGCATGTCTTAGGGGATAGACCAGATTCTCCACAGGACATCTTCTAAACTCTTCAAGAAAAACCGGTCATGTCAGAACTGGCACAAAGCAAGTGTTTGCTCAACAACAAAAAACATCAGAAGCAGTATCCAGATAGTGAGGGGAATGTGGGACACGCCTAGTGGTGTAGTGATGCCGGGGATAACGAGGGTGCACCTTATAAAATAACAGTCAACGAAAAGTTTTCTTATTTGCTTTACTTAACATTAATTTGTTATTTGAATATATAATAAAACCTGATGGTGGCTGTGGTAGTGATGATGATGATGATGATCATCATCATCATATCCATTATCATTATGCTGTTGACAACCATAACACTGTGTTTTGCAGCTAACGTATTTACTAATCATATTTGATGTCCATTTTTTTTTGGTTGTTGAGTATCGTGGCACTATTTAATTTACAGCTGCGACAACAGTTGTCATCTACTCAGAATATTTTCCATCACAGGGTTTAAACGGCACTTTCAGGATACCTCAAAGTCACTCGGAAATGCCACACAGTCTCAACAAACATTAAGAAACACGAATATGCTTACCGAGTCTCTTTTTCTCAGATCCCCTGTTGGAACACACAAACAAGTTACGTTGATTAACACAAACCCTGATGTAACTTATGTGAAGAGACTACTATGTCAATATATCATTAATTCTACGTGAGCAACTGTTGAAAGAAATTAAACCCTACCGCCTTTAAAGTAAAATAAAAGGACCATTGTCCATGCATTTAAGTGTACTAGGCATATAGGGCTGGACCTTTATTTGATGGACCAATCTGCACATGGTGTGTGATGTAGTCAGCAACATGCCGCGTGCCTTTACTTCCCAGGACTTTAGATGGTACCCATTTAGGGCTGGGTTGACCTAAGACCCAAGGTCCTCTTTAAAAAAATGGTCAGGCTTCATCAAGACTTAAACCCACAACCTTTCGATCCACAGGCAAGCGTCTAGCCGCTACATCCCAGCGGCTCCCATTGCCTTAAGGTCCTTATAAAATACTATTTTAAATTATTTTTAAGCTGCAAATAAGGTGTATTTCAAAATTATGAGGCTATTTCCGTATGCAGGCTTGCTTCTTTGACTACTGAGGCAGGAGACGACGCAGATAATATAAGATGTCCCCTTGTCGGATGCAATTTTTTGTTTGTTTGTTGGAGGCCCCATCCTGGCTGTTGCTGGGGGTCATAATATCATAATATAACTGTTAAACGGGGTTTCCAGGACCTCTCCACGGGTGATCCTCATCCGCATGTCGGCCCTTTGTGTCACAGGGTGTTTATCGCTCTGTGTGATGTCCTGAAGGGGGAAAATGTACTTAATTACGACGCACATGTGAGGAAAGTTCTAAGTACAGGCATGAAAGTTTTTGATTCACTCATTCTTTATGAAACAATATTATGTTTATTGTTTAACTTTGTCAGTACATGCATTTCTTGGTCACTCCAAAGATAATTTGATGGTACTGCAGCCTTCTATCACATACATATGTTATATTACCTCTCTGTATCTGAGTTATTATTTCAACTGCATCTGTCTCAGAGTGTCTCTGCTGAACTCCTTCAGGTCTCGATATTTTTGTTTTTAACTTCAACTCGTGATCAGCCATGTGGATCAGGAAACCAAGGAAAACTTTAACTCGTGATCAGCCATGTGGATCAGGAAACCAAGGAAAACTTTAACTCGTGATCAACCATGTGGATCAGGAAACCAAGGAGAACTTCAACTCGTGATCAGCCATGTGGATCAGGAAACCAAGGAAAACTTTAACTCGTGATCAGCCATGTGGATCAGGAAACCAAGGAGAACTTCAACTCGTGATCAGCCATGTGGATGTGGAAACCAAGGAAAACTTTAACTCGTGATCAGCCATGTGGATATGGAAACCAAGGAGAACTTTAACTCGTGATCAGCCATGTGGATGTGGAAACCAAGGAGAACTTTAACTCGTGATCAGCCATGTGGATGTGGAAACCAAGGAGAACTTTAACTCGTGATCAGCCATGTGGATGTGGAAACCAAGGAGAACTTCAACTCGTGATCAGCCATGTGGATGTGGAAACCAAGGAGAACTTCAACTCGTGATCAGCCATGTGGGTGTGGAAATCAAGGAAATACTACCACATTATATATATTCATAGAAACTCTAAACGGAACCCCCAGAGGCAGTTCTACGCGAAGATGGATACAAGACACTGAAGATGTATTGGCAATGAAAGCAAATAGGGTTGTAGCATTGGCTGGAAAAAAGGATATTTTAAATTGAGGCGTTTTGCTTATTTTGACAAAATCCTTTCTTCGTGTACAGCACAAACCATTGTGTATCTCCACAAACATCCATGATTTGTATTTGGATCCGTTTTATATACTGCTGTCCCATCCACTGTCCAACCCCTCTGTATTTTATTACTCCCAATCTTTGTGGCTGCCATAACATTCCTGATATTCCTTTTTTAAATAAGGACTTTTGAGCTAAATGATATAAAAGATTCCCAGAATAGCATGTACTAAGAAGAGAAGAAATACTGATATCCAAAATGATGTGAACATCAAGGAGAACTGAATGGTAAACAGCATGTGTCTCGAAAATGAAAATAAAACATTTTGTTATATCAAGACCACGGAGGACAGGAAGGAATAAAACCATGAGGCGTGAAACCTGGAAAAGAGAGACCAGCACGAAGATTTGCATAGATTATGACATCTCTGGCAGGAAAGTGCATAAGGCATGAGAGCAGGTGAGAGACCGAAATCCCTGCCCCCCCCCCCCCCCTTACCCTCCAGTAAGACCATGATGAGGGAGATGTTCTGCACTACCACTGCTACCTGACGATGATGTATTATTAATATTTATAAATGGCGGTAGAGTATTTCCTAGGCACTGTGATTAAGAAAGGATGTAAATGTCTGATGGCACAAGAAAGAAAGGATATAATACAAAAGAAATACATGAAAATTATGTTTTATTATGGAGCGGAGTACCCACTAAAGATAGGGCAAAACATGGTGTCGGATTTATACTTCATCCCGAGACAGCAAAATTAATAACAGGAACAGAATTTATATCAGAAAGAATTATTTTAATCAAGTTGACAGAAGGAAGTAAAACTACAACGATTATTCAGATATATGCACCTTGCAATGACAGTTATTCTGAAGAAGAAAAAGAATACTTTTACGAGAGACTTACGGACACCATCAACAATGTTAAAGAGAAAGAGGACATCATAGTAATGGGAGATTTTAATGGTAGGGTAGGTAAAAGAAGATCACCATGGGAGAGATACCTTGGCCCATTTAGCGACACAACCACAGATTGCAATAGAAATGGAGAACACCTGCTAAACTTGTGTGCTGAACATTACCAACACATTCTACCAACATCGCCGAAGTCAGGTTAAAACGTGGTACAAGTGGAACAACTTAGATCAAGCGTCACAAATTGATTTTATACTAGTCAGACAACGGCAGAAGAGGAAGGTAAGAGACTCAAAAGCTGTCCCAAATGCGGGACTGGATTCAGACCATCGCCCAGTAGTTATGAACATATGCAACTCAAGTAGAAACAGTCTACATAAACAGAAACGTGAAGAAATCATCAACACTAAGAAATTAGAGGAAGAGAATATCAAACATGAATTTGAACTAGAAATAACAAAGGCTTTTGCAGATATTGCCATGGAACCAGTAGGAATTGAAGAAGAATGGGATTATTATAAATCAACCATCACGAAGATATTAAAAGACAAGTGTGGTACCAGAAAGACGGGCAAAGGCAAGAAAAAGGGTACCGCTTGGTGGAATGAAGAAGTCAAAGAAGCAGTGTCAAATAAAAAGAAGATGTTTCAAATATGGTTAAAAACAAAAGACGAAAAGGATTACATTAGGTACAGACTAACCCGAAGAGACACCAAGAGAACAATAAAGAAATCCAAAGAGGAATCATGAAAAAAGTATGGTGAACACCTAACACAGCTATGTACAGAATCATCAAGAGACTTTTATAAGAGTGTGAACGATGCGATTAAGAGAAGAAAGCTTCAATCCAACATCAGTCATAAATGATAAAAATGGAAAACCATTATTCAGCCAAAAAGAAATTAAAAAAAGATGGGAGGAATATTTTTAAAGAACTTTTGAACCCGTCGGGAATACATGAAACAGCAGAATTCCATTCAAGGGCTCCAGATCATCTAGAACCACACATCCTGCGGGATGAAGTAGAGAAAGTTATCAAAACAAGTAAAAGACACAAAGCAGCTGGTATCGACGGAATAACAACAGAAGTCATCCAGGCTGGAGGGGACACTATGATCACCTGGCTCTGAGAGAATTTTCAATAGAGCATGGGCAGAGAGAAAGGTACCAGTGGATTGGCAAAGATCAGTTGTAGTACCTATCTGGAAGAAAAAAGGAAACAAGAGAGAATGTGGAACTTATAGAGGAATATCTTTACTAAGTCATGTGGGGAAAATGTATGCAAAGATCTTAGAAGGTAGGATAAGAGCAAAGGTTGAACCTCTACTGAGTAAAGCACAATTCGGTTTCAGGAAAGGGCGAGGTTTGCACTGATGCCATATTTGCACTAAGACAAGTCTGTGAAAAGACACTCGAATACGATAAAGAGCTGAACGTGGTCTTTGTAGACCAAGAGAAGGCATTCGACCGTGTAGACAGAGATGTGCTGTGGAGAATTCTTGACGATACGGAGTGCAGGGTCAATTATTAGACAACATCAGAGCCCTCTATGAAAAAAGTGAAAGTGCAGTAAGAACATCTAGTGGTCTTTCTGAATGGTTCAAAGTCACAACTGGTGTCAGACAAGGATGTGTACTGTCACCATTACTTTTCATAACATACATGGATAAGATCACTGTAGAAGCAAACCCAGACGTGTATGCTATAAACGAATTACTTTTTGCTGATGATCAAAGCATACTGTATCAAAATGAATATGATCTACAGGAACATCTGACTACTCTCAACAACAGCTGTTTACAACATAATATGAGAATCAGTACAGAAAAAACAGAAGTTATGAAGATCAGCAGAACACACAGGCCACTGAATATAAATGTTGGAAGTGCCAAAATCAAGCAAACCAAAGAGTTCAAATACTTGGGCAGTATATTTACAGAGGATGGAAGAATGGACAGAGAGATAGAAACAAGAATACAGAAAGCAAATGCTGTCACATACCAACTATCACCTCTGCTTAAACATCCAGATATAACCTGAAGACCAAAAGACAATTGATAAACACCATCTTCATTCCAACACTCTGCTACCAGTGCCAGACATGGACAATCAACAAGACCCACGAAAGAAAAATAGAATCCTGTGAAATGAAATGTCTAAGAAAAGCAGCGAATAAGACCAGACTAGACAGGATAAAGAATATAGACATTAGAAACACTGTCAAAACTACACCATGTTTAGACTACATAGAACATCAAGAATGAAATGGTTTGGACATCTAACCAGGATGAATAATGATCAAATAACATCGCAAAATTTTCAACCAAAGAAGCTCAGGATATAAGGCAAGAGGAAGAAACGGTGGATTGACGGGGTTCTCCGAACCTGCCAAAAGCATGGCCTCAGAACATCAGATGCTGCCCGCCTTGCTTACGACAGGAACTTGCATCTCCCCACAACGCTTAGCGGCATACGTGGAAGGAAAAAGTAAAAGTAAAAAGTAAAGTAAGTAAATGTATATTATTTATATACTTATTTATATGTGAATTGAATAATGTTTTTAAAAGAGACCAAAAGAGCAGGATATACGAGATGGGCCTGCGTGCCCCATTCTTAACCCTTTGAAAATAAAATATATTTGTTTGCTTGTTCGTTCGTTCGTTCGTTCGTTCGTTCGATGATGATCACCTTGTTGTGACGTGACACACAATGTATCTGAAGAAACATTCATAAAAATGTGTTATATTTATAAAAGAGACCTTACTTCTTTCGACGGTAACAGCAGCAGTAGATGATTAATGCAATGATCCCTGCAATGATTGCCAGAGCCACCAAGCTGCCAACGACAATAAGGGCGATATAAGCTGGATCCAGTCCGTCATCATCGTCTGTATAGTATGGCTGTACTGACGCCACTGAGGGCGGGCCACTGGCTACAGTTGAAACTGGGGTTCCATCGCTAGATTGTTGTAAGGCCTTGATTTAAAAAAAAAAATTAAACAGTTGCATTTTAAACATTTCCTCTGATGGCAGAAGCTCCGTCACTTATATGTATTTACATTTTGAAATGATTAATGAATTTCAAAATTTCCAAAGGTAAATATCGCGATCTGGTTTTCATAACAACTTGAAAGGTACAATTCAAATATTATATCCTTTATATTTTTTAAATAATCTTATAAAAAAAAAAAAAAAAAAAGCAATGATTCCTTTTCAAGCCGTTAGGCACATCGAGCAAATGGGAAGAGTACCCATATTTTTACAGACCAATCGGCACTAGGTGGGTAAAGTAGTCAGCATTACGTCGGCCGTCTTTACTTCCCCATGACACACATCCTGGTACCCATTTTAGGCTGGGTCGACCTGCGACGTCCCATAGGTTAGTTGTGCATCCTTTACAGGACGTTGCAGAACCAACCCCAGCAGCCCCTGGCTGCCGTGTGGCTTCCCTACATGCTATTTAGCATTCCTACTTATCCTCTTCTGCTGTTCTAGCCAAAGTGTTACGAGATATTCTGAAACATCTCCAAATCATTTGCATCTTCTTCTTCGTTTGATAATGTTTGCTACTTCTTTCCCCCCTCGCCACATTCCCCATACCCTAAACCTCCCAAACCAATTTACACATATGCCTACCTCTAAAATGTATTACATATTGAAGGATGACAGCTGTCTAAATTAAAAATACATCTCTAAAATGTATTACATATTGAAGAATGACAGCTGTCTACACTAAAAATACATCTCTAAAATGTATTACATATTGAAGGATGACAGCTGTCTAAACTAAAAATAAATCTATCAGTCAACGTTGTGAAAATTATTAGATTGCTCTCTAGATTAACAATGCTTATGCAAGTGTCAACATTAAGACAAGTCGGGCGTGAAAGCAAAGATAATAAAAAGAATACAAGAATTCGAAATACCTTTGCAGCCTCTTTACTTGAGAGAAATGTCTTGGTTCTAGTGATGTTTGCCATGCTGTTAACAGTTTTGTCAGCCTCTACTACAACTAAGGCCTCGGAGCTGGAAAGTACAGATCAAGATAATACAACTATTTACCTAAATTCATGAGCATATTTTAGTGTGTTGACAATATTTGTGGAAGATCTATGTATTTCCATGGACTCAGTCCAAGAGGCTAGTAGCTGAGCTGAATACATTATAGTGTTAATGTCAAAGATATGGGCTCAATAGGCCTATGCCTAGATATGAATATCTGAGTTCGATATTTAAATGTATTCTTGTCTAAAGCTCGGTATCTAAGATGAATATTTACATGTGTTCATGTCTAGAAGCTAGTGTTTTGGGTCAATATGTCCATATGTTATTCATTAATAGTCTGAAAAAAATACGTTGTAATTAACAATGAATGTGAGCATTGCAGTGAATGGACAGATATTAGAACATTAGGACATTAGAACACGTTTCTTCTACATTGAATACGTAAAAACAGATGATGGCAGAAGTTAACAAGAAATTAAAAATAGAACAGTGACTGTAACAACTGGATGGATAACAATGAGTACAGAAAAGTATAGCAGGTCATGTGAAACTAACAGGCTCACTGTGAGCTGCTTGGTTCCACTTGAGGATTTAGAGCTGCATGGCTTGTGCACCCACCATGGACTGTGCAGGTTAGTTTGATTTTTTCATCCCGAGAAGAAAAGAAAAAACACTGATAACCTCACCGAGGATTCGAACCTAGGTCTTTTTCTTTGTTGAAGTCTCTATATTAACTTTTTTTTTTTTTCAATGTAAGTTTTCTTGTAAGAAACGTGTTTCAATAAAAGCTAGTTAATTGCGTATCCTTTACAGGACATTGCAGAACGAGCTTCAGCATTTTCTGGCTGTTGTGGTTTGTCTAGGCAAACATAGTGTTATATAGAGTTAGTGTTAGTTGCGTTATCATCATTGCACTCCGGACATGTCCTTAGGTGCTCAGATCCTCCCCTCAGTATGAACCCCAACGCCCGATGGCTAACAGTACCATTTTTATGTTTATTAACAAGTCTTCTGGTGTGTCTGGTGTGCGTCTCATTTTTTGCCAAGCCGAACTTAATTTCCAAATCTGCCATTCTGGCGAGTGATGTGGATTCACTGCCCCCAAAGTCCTCTATCTTTCCCATTTCTCTGAGGGCATTAATAATATCAGCATGATCCATAGGCTGACCGTCGGTAGAGAGAGAGGATCCAGCCAACCTATCAGCTCTTTCATTTACATCGACGCCTGCGTGTGCTGGAACTAAAATAAAGGTGACTACCTTTTCTAGGCAAGTTTACGTCCAGTAGTTTGATTACAATAAAACACGTTCAGTTCCTAGTGTAAGTTGACAGCGTCCTCACCCTGGGGCTAACAGTCGTCTCCTGCCGAGATCTGGATCTGTTGACCTTGTTTGCCAGATAACAACGTCCTGTGGGGATGGGAACTGTCCTTGCAGGTTGGCTTCCAAACTGTCTCTACAAATAGGAGAAAAAAAAATACAGGATTATTATCAACAAGATCCACTTTTTGGGGGCGGATTTTATTCAGTAATGTTCGGACACACACACACACACACACACACACTCTCTCTCTCTCTCTCTCTCTCTCTCTCACTATCTGTCTGCCTCTCTCTCTCTCTCTCTCTCTCTCTCTCTCTTTCTAGTTGGACTATACCTCTTGCAGTATCCAGAAAGCTACATCCAAATCCTTTCTTTTATGCTTCTCTGCACAAGAAGAAGAAACGGGCACACACACGCACAAATACAGATAGAAGCACGCAGAAAGAAAGAAATACAAAAGGAAAGAAAGAAAGAAAGAAAGAAAGAAAGAAAGAAAGAAAGAAAAAAAGAAAGAAAGAAAGAAAGAAAGAAAGAAAGAAAGACAAAGGGAAGGAATGAAGAAAGGAAGGAAGGAAGGAAAGAAAGAAAGAAAGAAAGAAAGAAAGAAAGAAAGAAAGAAAGAAAGAAAGAAAGAAAGAAAGAAAGAAAGAAAGAAAGAAAGAAAGAAAGAAAGAAAGAAAGAAAGAAAGAAAGAAAGAAAGAAAGAAAGAAAGAAAGAAAGAAAGAAAGAAAGAAAGAAAGAAAGAAAGAAAGAAAGAAAGAAAGAAAGAAAGAAAGAAAGAAAGAAAGAAAGAAAGAAAAAAGGAAAGACAGGAAGACAGAAAGACAGAAGGAAGGAATGAAGGAAGGAAGGAAGGAAAGAAAGAAATAAAGAAAGAAGGAAAGAAAGAAAGAAAGAAAGAAAGAAAGAAAGAAAGAAAGAAAGAAAGAAAGAAAGAAAGAAAGAAAGAAAGAAAGAAAGAAAGAAAGAAAGAAAGAAAGAAAGAAAGAAAGAAAGAAAGAAAGAAAGAAAGAAAGAAAGAAAGAAAGAAAGAAAGAAAGAAAGAAAGAAAGAAAGAAAGAAAGAAAGAAAGAAAGAAAGAAAGAAAGAAAGAAAGAAAGAAAGAAAGAAAAAAGACAGAAAGAAAGAAAGAATTCGTAACTTGCCTCTGGGAATTTAAGTCTGATAAATATGTGTTGACTTTGACAGAGACCAGATGCTCGTTTCTGTTGAAAGTATCCAGTCGGACCAAGATGGTATAGGATGTTGCATTTCCTCCAGACGTCACCGTGGCAATGATTGATTGAAAATAACGTGTCGACTTGGAAATGAACCAATCTCTCTTGACTAGAACATATCCGGTACTGGGGAAAAAATTTCAGTATGTGTAAGACTGGGATCATCATCTTCATCATCATCGCCATCATCATAGTTTTGTGCCGTTTGTCATCACATATGATTCGCAGTCTATCCCTACATTCCTCTCTGCGTTACTAAAGCCATACATGATCAAAAAATGTTATTGCTACCTGTAATGATACGGTTTTATGAATTTACATATGAATTTATGTTTACATAAAAAACTGGTAGGAGGCGGGTCTTAGATGAACATTTTCCCGTGTGGGTTCCGGGGCCCCATTATATAGAAAATAAGAATAGACCCACTGCCTACCCAAAAGCACGTCGTAAGAGTCGATTAAATGGGAGCTTCCTTTAAAGTCGGAGTGCATCTGCCTGAGGGGCAAGGAACCAACAGTCTGCAAACAAATTAGTCAGATCTGTCAAACGGATGCACACGCAACACTCAAATTCTGGATGATGACTGCAGTCCAAAAGTGGACGAAAACCCAGAACTTTCCGAAAGAGTTTACAGCTGGCGAACGCGAAGAAGAAGAAGAAGAAGAAGAAGAAGAAGAAGAAGAAGAAGAAGAAGAAGAAGAAGAAGATATGATGACCATTGGCCAATATGAAAATCACCAGACAGAAAGTAGGACACGACGGTAGGAAACTAAGCACGATCCATGTTATGAATCTGGAAGAAACTGTAGAAAAACGAGAATTAAGTATGAGAATGTATAATGTATAACTCCTGATACGTGCGTGCGTGCCTGTGTGTATGTGTGTGTATGTATGTGTATGTGTGTGTGTGTGTGTGTGAGAGAGAGAGAGTGTGTGTGTATGTGTTTAGCTACAGTATGTGGCACAGATTACTTATCAACATTTCTACATTTTAGAGGCTGTTAAGGGGTCACTACACCAAAAAAATTTATTTTTTTATTTACAGACTTAGAGCAGTTATTTTATGATGGTCATTTGTAGGGATACATTTTATTACATTTGTATACTTTAAGTGTTAAAAAATCCTAGTTGTCATGGCAATAGCCGCCATCTTGTAAAAAAAACAATATGTTGTTAGAATCCTTAAATTTTAAAAACAAACATAGGTATTCAACAATAGATGATGGATCCATGACCTTTTATTCTACTTAGAGGTACAGGTCTAGTTTATGTACTTTAAACATGTTTTAAAATATTTTTCGTAGAATTTTAAAATGTAGGTTTATTGAAAAAGTCAAAAAAATCTAGCATCATAAGACAATAATCAAATTTTAGAAAACAAAAACTTTCTAAAATCTACTTTTAGATAAAGCAGTCCCTATAATATTGTGTATGGAGTATGCATACAAAATTTCATGTTTCTACTCTTTATATTAGCTTAGATTTTAGGATTTCACAAACACAGCAAACTGAAATATAGAGATTTGAGAAAACTGACTTTTAAACTTTTTTTTATCTTAAAAAAGTGCATGAGGTGGTGTCGTTAGTATTAACTTTTCAATGCTAAATTGTTTACAAATGACATAAATTTTGTTTGTCATCTATTCTACGAATGCCGAACTTTACAAAAACGAATACATTGAAAAAGTGATATTTTTGTCATAAATTTAGAAAAATGCCGTGTAGTGACCCCTTAACAGGCGGGCTCTATGCTTTGTTAAATCAATAATAAACGTCGTTTTAAAACAAATGATTTTTTGTTTTCTCAGAGTGCAAGTTGTGTTTGCCCTGTCCTGCTCTTCTTTTTCTTCTTCTTCTTCCTTTTCTTTTTCTTCTGCTTGTTATGAGTCCTCATTTTTTGCCCACTGTCGCCCGCAGTGTACGAGCCAAAAGGTACAGCAAAGGTAGGAAGTAGAATCAGTGCACTACCATTTTTAGGAGAAGTGCCTGTGTGTGTGGGGAGTGGGGGAAGTGTTAGGTCCTAAGCCCTTAAGCCTGAGTATTTAAAAGCAGAGTTAATAGAGTCGCCATGAACCGTACAGGATAAAATTTCATTTTTTGGCCGAGAATAACAATACTGTCAGTTATTTTACCAAAGATTCGAATCCAGGTCTCTCGAATACGATCCTGGCATTCAAACTGCTCGCTCGGAGGCTCATCACACAAAGGTCAGCAAAACACAATATTACCTAGGGTTGGCTTCGAAAACGCTGTTGTCTCCAACTGTCGTGTAAATGATCCTATCTCCTGGCGCTAGTGTTAGTCCAAAATCGGCAGATGTCAGAGCACACACAACATCCCCATAAACAGCATCGTCGGGAAAATCACAGTATTTGAAATAAGTTGTCTGAAAATCTGCAACAGCATACAATTTCAGATACTGTAAAACTGACGTAGTAGCAGTTTGGGAATGTTTATACTATATAGCAGTGCTGGATTTAAGCATTAGCTAACTTAGTTGCAGCTAAATTGATGATAGTTTCGTTCCTTTTTTGTTTGTTATTTGAAGCCCCACCCTGGCTTTTGCCAGGGGCCGCAATATAGGCAGGCCATAAATATGGCCAATTGTCTGAACGCGGTTTCTGGGACCTCTCCACGGCGATCCTCATCCGCATGGTGGCACTTTGTGTCATCGGGTGTTTATCGCTTGTGTGATGTCCTTGTGGGGTAGAAAGCCAATCCAGTTGCAGCGAAAGACCTTACAGTCTTCAGGGTCCTCCTCATACTCCTTTTCTCACAAATGCAGTTTTATTAAAATAAAAGTAAAGTAAAGGACCCTTTCCACGTGTTTAGGGGTATAGGGCACATAGGGCTAGACCTATATTTTTATGGACCAATCGGCACAAGATGGTTGATGTGGTCAGCATCACGCCGAGTTTTATTGTGACAGAACCTTAAAGAGGATTTTGCCATTTCTGCAATTTTGCGGACACATTCTTCATTTTTTCGTTTGCTAACAATTACGTGAAAGTATATTTCCAGCATACATATATTTAAAAGGCATATATTTTTTAAAGGTTTCTTAGATTAGCTGTGTAATTTTAAATAGTAGGAGCCTCAGAGCTTTAAATATTTCGGGGCCTCATCAAGTCTAAATCCGACCCGGGTATATAGAGAATTTATGATAAGTTTAAACGGATTTTGTAGCTGTTTAAACAGATATGCATTAAACAGCTTCAGATAATTTACTCATATCTTCTCGAAAAAAAATTATCTTCTTCTTCTTCTTCTTCTTCTTCTTCTTCTTCTTCTTCTTCTTCTTCTTCTTCTTCTTCTTCTTCTTCTTCTTCTTCTTCTTCTTCTTCTTCTTCTTCTTCTTCTTCTTCTTCAGCATTCCGAGTCCTTGAAGTTCATTACTGCAGATACCACCGACCTCCGCTCATCTCCCTGGCTGGTCTTTTCATTCCACTTGGTAGCACCAAGTGTCTGAAGGTCAGTCTGGACATAATCTCTTTACGGCCTTCTAAGTCTGCCTCGTGGTCGTTTAGCTCTCTTGTGTATATGGGTTTTACCTCTCTGTCATCTGCCATTTACTCAATAAGTCCCAGCCATTTCATTCTATTAGCTCTCATGCTGTCAGTGATCAATGCTGATTATAAATTTTGCTGTTGCTTCTCACTTTCCATTCCCAGCGGTTTGCAGCTTTGATGGGTCCAAAGATTTGTCGTAAGATGGTTTTCGAAAAAATTTTGAAAAGCTGCACCTCTTTTAATCGTGCTTCAAGTTTCAGAGCGATATAAAACGACCGGTCTTATGGACGTTTTATATATTTTGATCCTGGTGTTGCGGGACAGACACTTTGATTTCAGCAGATGTTGAAGGGCATAGTATACTTTATTTCCAGACTGTATTCTAAATTGTATTTCTTCTCTCTAGAAAGATAATGACGCATTAAGATTGAGAGCTCACTAATTGTTAATAATAATCAAAACCTACAATGAGACAAAAACATTGACAATAAACAAGCAATTAAAAAAGTCGAACTGATACTCTGGAGAATGTAGCTAATATGTACTCTACATAGAAAATATATGTGTGTGTGTGTGTAACTGTAACTGTGCGTGTATATCTAGATGTACGTATGGTGGTGGTGTGTATATATATATATATATATGTGTGTTCGTGTGTGTGTATGTGTGTGTGTGTGTGTGTGTGTGTATGTGTGTGGTGCACACCATCTACCTCCCCAGCAATCATTTCTAGGTACTAGAGTACCGTGCCAAGCCACTCGTTTTGGTGCAATTAACATTTCTTAGCCTACATGTTTGGCACAAAGAAACCAAAACACAATAAAAGCTGATAATGCTCGCAGTAGGTTGCGCCTGATCAGTTTTGTTTCTTAAATGGATGGATGGATTAAACACACGTTTGGCGATTCTCTGCTACTATTATTGTTGTTGTTATTATTATTATTATTATTGTGCTTCTTCTTTACCTTCTTTCTTGCCCTCCTCTTCTCGGTCTTTATATTAATATTATTTTTACTGCTTCTTTTCTACAACTACTACTATTACTACTACTACTACTACTACTACTACTACTACTACTACTACTACTACTACTACTACTACTACTACTACTACTACTACTACTACTACTACTACTACTACTACTACTACTACTACTACTACTACTACTCTTACTACTACCACTATTACTACTTCTACTACTCAAAGACTGTTTAGGCTGTGTGACACCCCTGTGCTGTCATTTTTACGCCCCATTTTCCCTTTGCTAAATTTGAGCAATTCTGTTTGTTTACAGATTAAGAAGAAAACTTGTAGGGCTGTTTACCTTAGTTTTAAACTGTGCTTATATATTTAAACTTAAGAGACAGATCAGACAGGACAGATAAGACAACTGAATGTGCAAGCTGAAGTCCTAATGGAGCAATGGTGTGCAATACAAGAGGATGCTTTCATAATAATAATACTAATTTCATAATAATAACAGCAATAAAGGCACTGATTTTTTAAACTACTAGTTATAATGTGGCGCTCTCAGAAATGTGTCATCCCCAGAACATGTATCACAGACTAAATACTCCTACTGTGTTTGCCATTTAAAGGTCAGTTTGCATTTTGTGTTTTGGTTTAAAACTAGGCTGCTATATGTCCGCCTGTTGGCTCAACACATCCGACTCCAGAAAACATTTATTAACATTTTACGACATTCTTGTTTGGAGAAAGTAGGCCCATTATTTATTCCCCCCCCCCCCCCCCCATCCCCATGATCCCCCAGAAACAACATAGGGCAATTTAATTACAAACGCGTCAATTAAAATATAATTAAGCAAGAATGATTAAAAAAGAGAAAGAAAAAAAAAAGGGGGGGGGGTCTTCGTATCAAAGTGGCGTCGTTCGGATCACAAATAATTTTTACAGAGATCCATCGAGGATCGTCGCTGGAGCTACAGAGCTATGTGCTTTCTGTGACGCTCTTGGCAGGCGGCTAACCGTTCTCCGGAGAGAGGCTGGGCCATGTGGGATAATCCCTTTGCAGTGACTTCGTCGATTCTTTCATCGTTAAGCTCTAAAGTTTTCCAAAAACATAAATTATTCTTACTATTATATATCTCCTTTTCAGTAACATTGATGACCTGAACATAGACTGTAGCTCTTGAAACCATCTGCGGTGAGCCTCTGTCTGCAGCAACAACAGAGATGACAAACGACGTGATGTCCTCATAGTTGATAGGCGCCTTCAGTTTGATGGTTCCTGGGGGTTCCAGAATGAAGTAGGTGCTGACAGGTGGATTGTACGGCGATATAAACATATCCACCTGATTGTTCACGCCGTCCGCATCAGCGTCTGTGGCAATTAGTGTAGCTATGGCATAACCCGCTGGCAGGTTTTCTACTACCTGTACGTACAGCACAGAGATGTTGAAGACTGGACCATTGTCGTTGTCGTCGGTCACTATGATATTTGCCTGTTGATCGGGATACACAATATAGTTGTAGTCATAAAGTACTGAAACAAAATGAAGCTTGGTTCACTAACTTATTGTCACCTTACCGTCTTTCCAGACGATAGTGTTATACTGTGTTATGAGGAGGCGTGGGACTCACATCCCAAGGCGATGGCGAGTGTGACTAACAAGACCCGCTCGTGTTAAGAAAAGTCTTCCACAATGATTGCATGGGATTTCAGGATAATTGTTGTCAGCATTTGTGTTTAATCCGTTTCTTTTAAAACGCTCAGCTCTCATCTTTTCTGCAATCATTTCTTCCTTCACTCTAATTCCCTTCCTGATATGCCCTTTCCACACAACACGGTCCATGGCATTTTATTCCCATAAATCCACTTCAGTACATATAGCATTTATGTCCCGTTTGCGCACATCTTTATACCGTAGTAGAGGTCGGCCTTGATATCTCCTACCTGCCTAAAATTCGCTTTAAATGATGTCCTTACGGAGTCAATTTACTAAACGTATTTCAATACCCCCCCCCCCCTCACCCCCATTCTTGCTGCACTTATTTTAAAACTATTCAGCGAACACAAACTATAATTAGGAATCTCGACGAGCTGAAATGAAAAGAACACATAGATAAACAGTCAAATGTTTCCGCCGAGGCCTTTACCAACGAGCAGCCACACAGGATGATATAAGAATCTTAGAAACCAGTCCCAACTCGGGGAAGTCATGTTAATCAGGCTTGTGTCTAGGGTTTCTTGTCTTCTTACTGTGCTTCTCGTTGATGAAGACCTCGGCGGAAACGTTCGACTGTTTTTTTTTCTTTTGTCTCCAGGGTTGACTTTCCTAGTTCCTAGCCATTGTATACAATACATTTATTTATACCAGTGGGTCTGCCATAAACCCAGCTTTCATTATATTTTAAATCTGGTGTAATGCTAAATCTCCCTTAAATGAATATGGTATATACGGTTTAAAATACAAAATAGGTGCCAATCCTTTGCATTGACCTCGCAAATTAATCCCAGTGCTTTAATTTTATTTTTTTGGCGAGTTTGCCACTGCTTTACGAAGCTCATTTCATTTTTGAAATTAAGGCCAAGCAGTTTGTTGAGTATTATATGTGCTGTGCATGAATGTTTATATATATATATATATATATATATATATATATATATATATATATATATATATATATATATATATATATATATATATATATATGTGTGTGTGTGTGTGTGTGTGTGTGTGAGTGTGTGTGTATCATCCTCATGTAGCAGGTTCTTTTTAGAACGCTGCTCTCATCACGGTGTGCCTGAAAGAAAATCGGTTTCTCGCTAGATCTTCTCCCCCCCCCCTCCCCCATGTACTTTCAAACCCAGGGGGTCACTTATATCATATCCCCATCTTCCTGTTGGTCGGCCCCTGCCCCTTCTTCTTGGTACCATGCCATCTGCTATAATTTTTTCTAATTCGTCGTGGTGCTTGATATAACTAAAATATTTCAGCTCTCGAGACAGGATGCTGTTTATTAGCCAATCTTCCTTGATGTTCAGGCATTTCAAGATATTTATCCTCTTCTCTGTCCAAGATATTCTGAGAATCTTTCTATAGCATATAGGCTCAAAAGCCCCTATTCTCTTTTTTAAGGACTGGGGGATAGTCCACGACTCACATCCGTATGTTGCTGCAGGGGAAATTACTACATTACTATCCCAACAATTTTTATCATGGAACTTACTATACACATAGATATGTAATATACATATACATATATATATATATATATATATATATATATATATATATATATATATATATTGTACATGCATGTTAAATCAATCCTTACCATTGTTAGCTATTTCCGAGTTTACTAGGCAATATAACATTCGGGAGTTTGCCATTGCTTTCTGACGCTTATACTGCTGTCGAAATCAACGCAAAGCGGTCTGTTGGGCATTATACCTTTTTACAATAATATATATATATATATATATATATATATATATATATTGCATATGAATGTTATATATATATATATATATATATATATATATATATATATATATATATATATATATATATATATATATATATATATATATACCCTCTATTCGCAAAAGGCCCAAAGGCGTGGAGAATGGACCTTTACTTACTTTATACTGCTCATAAATATTAAATCCGCTATATATGTATGTTATATCGGCTACATACGAATATTATAACTGTTGTTTATGGGTGTAATATCCGTTATACCTTTAAGCAGTAACATATCTCCTCACAGTAATTTCCTTATGAAGTTTTAGATGTATACTCACAGTAATATCCTTATAAGGAGCTATATGTATATTCACAGTAATATCCTTATAAGGAGCAATATGTATACTCACAGTAATATCCTTATAAGGAGCTTTATGGATACTCACAGTAATATCCTTATAAGGAGCTATATGTATACTCACAGTAATATCCTTATAAGGAGCTACAGGAATACTCACTGTAATAACCTTGCTGCCTACATCAGCTGAGATGGAGATGACGAGACGGTAAAATGCGTAGGTTTCTCTGTCCAATGGACTCGTAGTTCGTAGAACCCCATCTTTGGATATACCGAAAACGCTGCCAATGTTGCCTCCACTGTGAACGCAAACAGATATTTAATAGAAGTGCTCCAACAAAGAGTTAATGTTTAGCTATAGATTTCTAACGCGTTCAACTTGAAACGTTGTCGGGACCCTATGTTGTGGCTTACGCATAGATTGACAAATGTATGGCTTTCAGCCCAACTAATCAGACGTTAGTACTCCAGGTTAGCCACTTTTACGGCATGCTTGTGATTGTGCATTGAATTTTTTTTTTTCTGTCAAAATGAAGACCCAAAGCTCTCACCGGGAAAGTGAGCTACTTCACGTATGTGTGATTTTGCTCATTTGAATCTTTTCTTGTTCGTCGATTTACTCTTTAGAATATGTTTGCTCCTATTTGTCATTTTTTGTTTTTACTTTCCGGGTAATGCCGGGTAATCCGCTCCAACAATAATCAGAAGGCACTCTGTAACGGCATGATGTCCTAGTATAACTGTTTAATCGGTTGAACGAGTTACTTGGGTTTGTTTCTCGTGAATTTCACATCCATATAGTGGCTCTTAATCCACCAGGTGTCAATATTTGAGGGTTGTATTCTAGACACATGTTAAAATATGAATATAAATGTCCATACCCCAACGGTCGACAAGTCTACTAGCAGATGAGAGCCCTGTCATACAGGATATAGAGATATGGACTGATTCATCTGAAGAAATAAACTGTGTCTTCACTGCCTGTTTGATGCGTAATTGTTCTGTGTTGTTGGACAGGGAATACTTGAACCTGACGTTTCAGGGCTGCAAACCGTAAATGATCTAAAGATCCCTTTACACGCCAGTGGAGAATTTTGCATATGAGGCCAGACTCATATTTTTAAAAACCGTGGTCCTCGATAGATGATGTTGTAAAAAATCACGCCGATTGCCTTTACTTCACAGGTCTACTCCTAGTACCCATTTGAGGCTGGGTAGACCTTGGAGCCAAGGTCATATTTCAAAAACAATCTGACACCATGCAGATTTGAACCCACGACCTTCGGTGTGCAGGCGAATGTCTAGACACTACACCGCGAAGGGCATGACAGACTGTCCAGGTTATGATATTTTCCCCAGACAAGATAAAATCCATCACCTTACCGAGAATTACATCAGTCTTAACAGAGTTATAGGTAGTAGTAGTACATTTTACCCCACTATGACATCACACAAGCGATAAACACCAGATGACACAAAGTGTCACCATGTAAATGAGGATCATCCGTGGAGAGATCCCGGAAACCGCGATCAGCCATTAGGCCATATTTATGGCCGGGCTATATTGCGGCCCCTGGCAAGAGCCAGGGTGGGGCTTCAAGATAGTAAAAACGTGCATCCCACAAGATGGTGAGTAGTTAGTATATAGAGTTATGGGCGCATGAGCAAAAAAGTGTTTATGGCCTCAATGACATTCGCTCAAGGAAATGAAATGTAAATGCTTCATAAAATTAAACATATACATTGATTAGCAGGGCGCCCCTATGCTTGTGAGTTCCTGGGCAAGTGCCCAGCGGGGGTAAGGTATAAAGGCGGCACTGCCGAGGATTCCAACCTGTCTCCCAAATGAGAAAATATGGGGATGACTGCAGTCAAGCTAATACAAGGAATTCCAGAGAAATTTGACTAGAAAGCTCAACAAAATGGGGAAGCAGAAAATAGTGCACAATACAACACAAATAACGTAACGTTTCGGTCAGGCAGCCTTTGTCAACTACACACACAAAAAACTACGAGAGGAGAGTATACAGATTCGTTGTCCAGACTTCTTCGGTCAGTTTCCCTAATGGTTCTTTCCAAATTAGGGAACCTTTTACTTGCGCATCCCGCAACGTAATTTATGCAATAATCTGCAAACGATGCAGCAAGGCATACATTGGGAAAACTGGCAGGAAGCTAGCTGATCGTTTCCGGGAACACCTCTCCGATATTGACAAAAAGACCAACCCCTCTCCATTTTAACAGCTCTGACCACAGAGATAAAGATGATATATCTGTTACAGCATTAAAATCTTGCTCTGGCGATAATTCTATTCCTCGCTTGGAAAATCGCCTCATCCACAGCCTTGGCGTTCTTAGTCTAGGTGGTATCAATGTCCAACATACCTTTATCTAAACAGATATACTCTTTTCACATTTTAAATGTTAATTTTTTTTCCTTTTCTTTTTTTTATTTTATCTCATATTATTACGTTATTCTATCACTAATCAGTATCATTTATGTATCATTAACATTTGTATTTCTTATATTTCCACTATTATATTATGTATTTAAAATATAACTTTTCATTTTTTGCAACTATATTTCTTTTAGCCATCGTTTATTTTATTTTATTTCATTTATTCTACATCACATTTTTTTTAATAGTTGCTTAGAGATCTGTATACTCTCCTCTTCTCGTAGTTATTTATGTGTAGTTTGACAAAGGCTGCCCGACCGAAAGGCTACGTTATTTGTGTCGTTTTGTGCACGTTTTTCTGCTACCCCATTTTGTTGAGCTTTTAAGTCAAATTTCACTGGAATTCCTCCCAAATGAGAGCCCAGCATTATTAATGATTGACCAGTCGCTACTTAAACGCTTTGATGCTGAGCTATATTGAACTGTTAAGGGGCTTACCTTATAGTATAACTGGTAATGTTGATTAATGAAGTATCCCTGGGTATTGTTCCCACCAGTGTTCCAGCAGCCTCGTTCTCTCTGATGCTGAAGACATAATTCGCCAAGCCGGGGCTCTGCTGAACTGGTCGTATCACAATGGCTACAGTGATAGTCCCTTTCAAAGATGGCACCCCGTGATCTACAGCTGCCACTGTCAAAGTGTGGAAACTTCGTGCTGAGGCTAGAGACGCCGCTACTGAGATAACACCACTTACAGTATCGATACTAAATAAGTGATCGTCGTCGCCACTCTCGATGATATAACTGACTTCGCCATTAGCTCCACTATCCTTATCTGAGGCCGATACTTTACTTATTGGGGTTAGGAGGGGAGTATCGCTTGCAATTGTAATTTCTGTCCTTGCTTGTCCGAAATCTGGCCGATTATCGTTCTGGTCAGACACATGGACCGTGTAAGTGGTGATATTTTCCAGTGCCGGAGAGCCTCCATCTTGTGCTCGAACGGTGAGGACATATAAAGAAGTGGTCTCAAAGTCAAGGCTAGCAACAAGCGTTACTGCTCCAGTTTTCGAGTTTAAAGCAAATTTCCCCTCAGAATTGCCCGAGATAATTGTGAACGAGACGGTTCCGAACACACCCGAGTCCAGATCTTCGGCTGCTATTGTTAGGAACACACTTCCAACAGACAACGTTTCGGGGACAGTAACAATGAAAGGTGCGTTGATAACCACTGGGTTGTGATTATTGTCGTCTAAAACATAAATACAAATCGCACCTATAGCCGTCATGCTGTTGATTCCTGCATTGTCTACAGCCTTTACCGAAAGGCAATACATTTTGGCTACTGAGTACTCCAGTGAGCCTATCAAGGTCACTACACCTGTCGATGAGTTAATATCGAAATTGCTGTTTGCTTCGATAGAAAATTTCACTGTTCCAAAATTTCCAGAATCGTTATCTGTGGCAGAAACCTGGCCAACAATGGTGTTTTTTGCAGCGGTTTCCCTGACATCCCACAAATACATATCCTTGGATAAAACAGGACTGAATCTATTCATTTGTATGACCGCTATATACAGTGTATAGTTATCACTTTTAGAACGGTTGTACTTGTTAAAAGCTGTGATTATTAGCTGGTATGATTTAGTTAAAGAAAAGTTGAGGGCACTGGCAAGCTGCGTTTCTCCAATATCCTGTTCTACAAAAAATGTTTTGCTGTCCCCGCTACTCAAAATGTACAACAAATCGCCTGGATTTGGGGAAGATGGTTCTTTTGCTCCTAAAAATGTTGCATCGGCATCATCTATTAAACTGCCTACAGTGCGAGTTTCTTCTATAGAGATACTTTTTGTTCTGACTGCATAGTAAGGTTCTTCATATTTTGGGCCAACTGATACAGTGACATAAGCTGTTGAGTTTTGAATTGGCATGCCATGATCTGAGGCCATAATTTGCAGGTCGTATTGACTGTTTAAATTAGAGTTCAGCAATGATGCAGCAATTAACGTGGTGCCACTTAATCTAAACGCGTTATTGGTATTTGCAGACGTGATGGACAAGGTAATGTCTTTGTTGACGCCGGCGTCTGAATCTGTCACTGATAGCGTGCCTATAGCAGTTCCAGCACTGGTGCCATATGGCACCAGAAACAGGTAGTTATCTGGGTTATATACGGGTTTGTTATCGTTGACGTCAGTTATAGTTATATTAAGTATGGTGGTGTCTGTTTTCCCACTGATGCCATTGACACGTATTGTAAGAGTCAAGAAATCGGCCGTTTCCCTGTCCAGGGCAAAGATTAAGTACACTTCGCCTGTTCTCTCATCAATTGTGAAATTATTTTTGCTGTTGCCGTTTACTATTGCAAAGGTCAAATTTGAGCTGCTGTCATTATTCTGCAGCTGAATTCTGATAATGGGTGCACCAAGTGTTGCATCTTCTGGCACTGATAATTGGATTGTACCACCAGATGACACAATTTTAAAATTGTTGTCATCTTCATCAATTACATACACATTCAAGAGGACCGTACCACTCAATTTTGGGTCTCCTCTGTCGGTACCGCAGAGCAAGAGCGGATAAAATGACTGTGTCTCGTAGTCAAGCTGTTTTACTAGCTGTAACGCCCCAGTAGACGTGTACCTGAACACATTATTAGGGTCCCCAGATAGGATACTGTAATCTATCTCGGCGTTTTGTAGAATGTCCAGATCATAGGCAGTGTATTGTGCAATCGTTGATGGAAACGCCATTTTTTCAGATATTTTGCGAGAAGCGAACGAGCTGTAGTACCGTGGAGCGTTATCATTTATGTCAAGTATACCGATTCCTAAGTTCTGTTTGACTGATTGTCCGTCGGTTGCTGTGGCCGTTATTTGAAGAGTGTATGAGTCAGTCATCTCTCTGTCCACAGATCGGATAAGTTTCAAATCACCAGTGCTTTGACCTAAATAAAATTTACCCTCCGTATTACCACCCGTAATTGCATAAGTAATGAGGTCGAAAGACCCTTCAGCCTTGACTGTAAAGAGTAAAGCGGTGGAAGTTGAGTTCTCGTAGACAGGCAAGGTGGTGGGAAGATTGGTAAACTTGAGATTGGTCATAATATTGATCTGAACAGAGACAATTGCGACTCTAGGAGGGCTGCCTTGATCACTGACGCTGATATCAATCGTATGTGACCCTGCTATGGGTGTACCTGCTAACCGAATGGTTCCATTGAAAGTAACAACGGTGAACATGTTAGTGTTGCCCTTAATGATTTCATATTTTAGGTTGGTACCAGATTCAGCATCATAGCAACTAAGATACCCTATTGGGTCTCCTACAGGAGGTGCAGTTGGCGTTACTAGGTAGGGTCCTTGAGGATTACAAATCGGGTCGTTATTATTTCCTATGGGTTTATCACAGGTTACATAGACAAAGGTTTTCGAACTAAGGACTTTGGTCTTTGATTTGTCCACAGCTTTCACCGTCAGGTTAAAGAACGTATTAGTCGTTTGGTCGAGACCAATGCCTACAGTCAGATTCCCGGTCACTGGATCGAGCACAAAGGGCACATTGAGATCTTCAAGGATGAACTCGATTTGCCCATCGTATCCATCATCTTTCTCAGTGGCTGCTACTTTCACCACTAGGGTTCCTGTAAAAGATGTTTTATTTCAGAATAAATTATCTTTTGAATAAATTATCCATAGAATAAATTATCCATCGCTATGGCTGTAATAACTAAACGGATATGGAAATCTCCCCACAAAATAGTTCATTTAGAGCATAAGGTGGTGCATAGGGGAAAGGTCATAGCTCTCCATGTCTGGCGGTTCGTTTTCACATGTTCCAGGTCTTGGAGGTACTTAAGGCCCACAGCTGAGCTTTCTTTGATGATGGTTCTACGCAGAATAGCCTCATTTATTGGTTTTATTGGTGTGTGGAAATGTTGGAAATAAATTATTGTGCGGATTCCATTGCCCTATTCATCATCATCAGTTCTCGTTATACCTAGTGGCACATGAGGCTTCAGAGAGGACTTTCCATGCTTTCCTGTCCTGTACAATCTTCAGTGCAGTTTACCATGTCAAAGACGCCGCACTCAGGTCACTTTCCATCGTTCGTCTCCATGTTGTTTTTGTGCGCCTCTGTTTTTTTTTTCCCTCTGGTGTCCATGTGAGAGCTGTTTTGGCAGGTATATCAGGATTCATTCTCATAACGTGGCCAAACTATTTCCATCTTTTCTTGGTTATCATACTGTCTAAAGTTTCTTGGTTTGTGACTTGAAGTAGTTTAGTGTTTGAGATTGTAACTGGCCAGAAAATTTTGATAATTCATTGCCCTATTGTAGGGGAAAAAATAGACCGATTGTCCTCTTAAACAAGCAAGTCGTAATGTCGACTCATCAAGGGCGTTTCCTTCGGACTCAGGGTGCATCCGCATGAGAGGCAAGGAGCAAGCAGTCTGGATACAGAAAAGCTAGAGCTTAAAACGAATTCGCAAGCAGGACTCAGATTCCGGAATAAAGCTATAGTCTAGAAGCGGGCACACAACCAAAACTTTCTACTGGAGTTTACAGTCGGTGAACTTAAGGAAGAAGGTGTAAATAATTCCTTCAAAAAGAAGCATGCAACAACAATTCTACAAAAATTATAAGAATTTCTAACCAAGCAGGTTCTTAAGTGCTTCAGCTGTGCAGAGGTGCCATGGCAAGTCCCGAAGTGTTCCAGCTCTGCAGAGGTGTCATGGCAAGTCCCGCAGTGTTCCAGCTGTGCAGAAGTGTCATGACAAGTCCCGAAGTGTTCCAGCTGTGCAGAAGTGCCATGACAAGTCCCGAAGTGTTCCAGCTGTGCAGAAGTGCCATGGCAAGTCCCGAAGTGTTCCAGCTGTGCAGAAGTGCCATGGCAAGTCCCGAAGTGTTCCAGCTGTGCAAAAGTACCATGTCCAGTCCCTAAATGTTCCATCTGTGCAGTAGTGCCATGGCAAGTCAATAAGTGCTCCAGTTGTGCAGGAGTGTCATAGCACAACCCTACGTGCTCCAATTGTGCAGAAGTGCCATGGCAAGTGTCTAAGTTCTCCTGTTGTGCAGGAGTGCCCTGGCAAGTCTCTAACTTCTCCAGATGTGCAGGAGTCCTTGTATCAAATCTGAAGGTTTCTAGAACAAAATCTTCAACAACTAAGGCAACAACAACGCATAAACATCCCCGCCTGTCTGTCTGTCTGTCTGTCTGTCTGTCTGTCTGTCTGTCTGTCTGTCTGTCTGTCTGTCTGTCTGTCTGTCTGTCTGTCTGTCTGTCTGTCTGTCTGTCTGTCTGTCTGTCTGTCTGTCTGTCTGTCTGTCTGTCTGTTCGTCCGTCCGTCCGTCCGTCCGTCCGTCCGTCCGTCTGTATATGATGTTATTCCACGCATTCCACGGGTCTGACCCACTTGCGCACCCATACCTGGCTTGCTAAGTTTGTTAATGCTGACACTGTAAGCGCTGGGGACTTCTGGTGGGTACTCGTTCTTAGGGACCACTTCAATTGATATCTGAGCAGTGGCATCCAATGGTGGTGTCCCTTGGTCTGAGACTACTACAGGTCCGAAGAAGTATTTGTGTGCCTCAAAGTCAACTATGTTCGCTACCGACACCTCTCCGCTTAGAGGTTCTATTTTAAAGGGCCAGTAGGTACCCACTGTTGATCAAACAAAGGAACCAGAGTAAGGAATTATGTAGGCAGGTAGGTACATACATACATCTGTGTGTGTGTGTGTGTGTGTGTATGTGTGTGTATGTGTGTATGTGTGTGTGTGGGTCTGTGTGTGCGTGTATATGTGTGTGTGTGTGGTGTGTGTGTGGGTCTTTGTGTGCGTCTATTTTCTAAGGTGTTGATGCAGTCTAGAATAATATATGTATGTGTGTGTGTGTGTGTGTGTGTGTGTGTGGGTCTGTGTGTGCGTGTATTTCCTAAGGTGTTAATGCAGTCAAGAATAATATATGTGTGTGTGTATGTGTGTGTGCATTCCAAGGTGTTAATGATAGACTTGCAGTCTCGTATCACGGTCCGAGATATATATTTATATATATACACATATATCGCAAGGTGTTAATGATAGACCTGCAGTCTAGAATCAAAAATATACACATATATCGCAAAGTGTTAATGATAGACCTGCAGTCTAGAATCAAATATATACACATATATCGCAAGGTGTTAATGATAGACCTGCAGTCTACGTTGATGGCGAAGAGATTAAGACAGTTGACGATATTGCATATCTGGGTTCCACAGTAAATAACAAACTATCCCTGGAGCAAGAAATCAATGAAAACAAGAGTAGATTAACACAAAGAGTTTTGCAGAATAGAAAGCTCACGATTTGGGGGAGAGGGGGCGGCGGGGGGGGGGGGTAAATACGAGACGTTTTGTACTGTTCCTGAGGAGTCCTGGTGAAATTATCTGGCTGGTAGTGAAATCAGGTGCCCTTATCGAATTTTAAATAGAAGCTCATTTTAAAAGCTTTCCTCTTGTGTCGATTTCCTATAACATTCATAGGTAATAAGTCAATTATACATATTTTAAAATAGGGCGATACTTTTCAATTACCCTGCATATTATATATATATATATTTATATAAATGGTAATTTTCCGTGTTTGTTACCTATGATCTCCGAAAGTTCGTCACCGATACCTTTCAAATTTTTTTTCAACGTTGCAATCGCATTACACTTACGTCTTTTTTAGGATGAAATTGTTTGTTATTTGAAGCCCTGCCATGGCTTTTGCCAGGGGTAGCAATATAGGCAGGACATAAATATTGCCAAATGTCTGAACGCGGTTTCTGGGACCTCTCCACCGTGATCCTCATCCACATGGTGGCACTTTGTGTCATCGGGTGTTAATAGCTTGTGTGATGTCTAAGAGGGGTAGAAAGTCAGTCAGTCAGTCAACGTTGCATTCGATTCTGCACGTGTTTGTATGTAAGTGTTGCACAAACCACAAACAACGTAGCTCCAGTGTGACAAAACAACGGAATATTTCAGTCCGGCAAGAGTTAATTGCATTTTTTAGTTAAAAGAATTGCGCACGTAAAATAAACATAATTGAACATTGACGCGAGAAGAATAGAAATTGTACGAAGGCGTACATAAATTATGACGTTAGTAGTGTTACTGGGAGAAACCCTTAAAGCTAGTCATTTGACAACAACACAAAATGTCTGCCCAGCCACACCATCGGCATAACCCCAAGAAATCACAAATATAATATACGAATTCAGGTGAGATTTATAATGGTAGGGAGTAGCTTAGATCCCCTATAAGCCTTAGCTGTATCCTAAAATATGTTATCGAGATCCTACTATTCTATATTCTACAATTGTATAAATATTCCGTGACTTCATCAACCTTGATACTTGTCCGTTGGACAATTCACTAGTCCTTTCATATTATGACGTTCTTAAAGTTACTATTCACCGTTAGGACTATGTAATAGCGAACCCTCCTTCCCTCTGTCATCTTTCCAGAAAATATTCATTCGGTTTCTTTGCGTAAAGATCTTACAGTATAAACCGTCATCCTGTGCCATGTGGTATCATCAGTTGGGTATACATTACATTGCTTATGTTTATTATATTATGCAACATATAATTTGAGTAAAAGTTGTCAGCTTTGTGGGCATATAGGGTTGGCCTATGTTTTATAGACCAAGTGGTACCTAGGTGTTGATGTGGTCAACATCACACCTGCTACCTTTACCCTCCATTACTATACCTGGTGTCCGTTCAAGGCGAAGTCAACCTGGGTTTTGGGACTCGAACTAATAACTGTCCAATCCGCAGGCGAGAGTGTGTCCACTTAACTATGTCAAGTTTCTTATGATCGTGCAAAAATTTAGATATGTATAAAACAATATATTATAACCGGGTGGAGAGATGTATTAGTGAGAAAGACAAAACATGAACCTTGCTCTTTCCTTTATTACTCTGAAAAACACCACAAACACCGCAACACCTCCACCTGCCCCAGATGTGTCGACATAATGCTCAACACAGGGCTGAATGATGTATTCCTCAGGTTCCCGTGTTCCCGTTTTCCTGTATTCCTGTTACCTGTGGAGCGTGAACCACCATCCCTGTTACCTGTGGATCGTGAACCACCATCCCTGTTACCTGTGGATCGTGAGCCGCCATTCCTGTTACCTTGTGAATTGTGAACCACACTGTATAGAATGAACAACCGAGATTCACGGATGAATGTCGCAGTTAGGCGAGGACAATAACGGTCGCAGCCAGAACTTTGTACATTCCTCCCAGAGAAGCTGCAGTTGGACACATCCCGTATATCGTAAAGCTGAGTGTTACTGAATATTTGTTTAAATTTGTGGTGTAATGATGAACCAGTGATTGTTTCTTTTGTTTGTTAATTTAAAAATTGTTAAAATTCATAACAATATTTATCAATACAGTTGTTGTTTAGAAACTCCATTATCGATTTCATCGCATCCAATTTAACTTCTTAGGTAGACTAAATATTGTTCATTGCAATTGATTTGAGTTAAATTTATAACGTATTGACCTTTGGTTTGTTTCTGAATTTCTTTGAGAAATTTCCGGGGATTAACCCTATTTATTTAATTTTCTGTAATTTCCTTTCTTTATTTTCCAGAACTCAGGGACCGTTATAATTTCCCTAGACTTAGTTAATTCGAGCCCTGTAAGTTATTTGGAAGGATATAGGGGATCTCCAGGCGACGATAAATTCCGCCAAAAATAGTTTATTACACCAGATACGATCGAATAATTATTTGTTTCGTTGCCGGCCCGGATTTGTTCTTAGTTTCACCGACCTTTGACTGTGTGTATGTGTGTGTGTGTGTGTATGTGTGTGTGAGTGTGTGTACGTGCGTGTGTGTGTATGTGTGTGTGTGTGTAACACTAAACTTCGCATTATTATATAATTTTATTTCTACCAAACTCTCCAGTCTTTGGTATCGCAGTTGTAAGTTTTCTGCCTGTCCCGCGAGTGATCGGTGTTTGATTCCCCGCTATGAGATACAATTTTTTTGCCCTTAAGGCGGCTGCCAAGTTGTGTTGTGGGTTACAGCTTGGCGCCATTTTTGTGCTCATGTTTGGGGTTTACAGCTAGCCTGCGATAGCGGCGGCGAGATGCTCAATAGTCATGTTGCGGGTAATCTTTCCTTTCCTTTGCTCTTGGGAGGGCGGTTGGCACGTTGTGTTGTGGTTTAAAGCTAGGCTGCGATATCTGAACCAAAATCTTGAGTTTTCGGTAGTATAGTTGTAAGTCTTACGCCCGTCACGCGGTTGATCGGTGTTCGATTCCCTGCCGGGTGAAAAAAAAATTGCCCCTAAAAGAGCGGTTGGCACGTTGTGTTGTGGTTACAGCAAAGCCGCGATATCTGCGCTTTTCGCTCCACTACATCCGATTTCAGCATAGACAAAATAAGTCTCCTCGCGAGGCTTTCCTGGATCAAAAAACTATTCTTTGATGACAGGCACTGTTTACTCAGGTTTTCACCGACGGCATTGCTACAGAAGCAGTCAGAAAGGGGAGTTGTGGAATATACATTAAACCCCCTAGCAGTAGAGCAGAAACTCTCTCTCTCTCTCTCTACCAGCAGGTGACATCTGCACTAACTTCAGAGCTGAGGCAACTGCCCTCCTTTCTGCAGTCCAACATCTCATCAATTAAGAGCACAGAGGGCACAAAATAGTTATACTTAGTGTCTTATTGTCTGTTCTTCAAGCACTATCAAGCAAAAAACAAGACAAACTAATTGCAGATCTAAGGACCAACATTGGCTTACTCTCCAAGGAAGCAGAACTGGTCTTGCAGTGGATACCAGCCCACTGTGGTATTCAAGAAAATGAGAGAGCAGATGAGTTGGCAAAAGCTGCGAGTAATCTTCCACAACCTTATCCACCACACAACTACAAGGAAACCAAAACAGCGCTAAAGCAGTTTTTTAAGCGGGAGTGGAGAAGGCAGAATGGAGATTACAGACTAGAGAGTGACAGCATAAACAAACTCAACCGGAAAGAACAAACAACAATTTTTAGACTTCGGACTGGACACTGTGGTCTTCGAGCACACCTGTACAGGATAGGCATAAAAGTATCTGTTACCTGTGATTGTGGAGCAGAAAGACAGACCCCTGGGCACATACTACAGTACTGCCCTTACACTCCCAGCAAAGACTGTGGATCTGGCCCAAGGGAGCCACATTGAAAGAGAAACTATGGGGGATCGGTGGCCACCTTAAACGCACAATTATATTTGTGACCCAGACGGGACTCAATGTTTAGCATGACTGATGTCGAACGCATAAGAAGAAGAAGAAGAAGAAGAAGAAGAAGAAGAAGAAGAAGAAGAAGAAGAAGAAGAAGAAGAAGAAGAAGAAGAAGAAGAAGAAGAAGAAGAAGAAGAAGAAGAAGAAGAAGAAGAAGAAGAAGAAGAAGAAGAAGAAGAAGAAGAAAAAGAAAACACTGTTTACTACTAAGATAGCGTTAAGACAGTTTTAGTTTGGATGGACACGGATGCGCAGGTCAATTAAAAATCGTCCCTCTCCAAGAGCGGGTTTTTATTTCCGCTGTTTGTGAGTGTAGTGTACTGTTTTTACTCACAGCATATTACTGTGGGTTCGATCACTTATGTCGGGGACACAATTAAACTAAACAGTCTGTGACGAGAGCACTAGCCATGCGGTGCTAAATCCTCTGGCTACACCGACCTACACAGACAGTAGAGACAGTTTTATTATTTGTTGTTCTAAAGGTGGTGATGGTAGTGGTAGCAGAAGTACTGGTACTCGATGGGTAATGTTGTAGGTGTCACACTGGCCACATTTACATCTCAGTACAGACTAATGCTACCCATTTTAGTCTGGATGGACACGGATGCCAAGCTCAATTTAATTACTATGTACTATATTTCGTCAGGTGATGACTTTCCAATCCCTTGAAGAGGAAGATATCATTGGGTTTGGGGGGAGGGGTGGGGGTGTTGATGACAGACACTGTTAAGTGAGAGAGCTTAACACATTATTTTAAAGTTCTTATTTCTTAACTATTTATATTTTAATAATTTCGTCAAGGGATTATTTTGCAATCCTTCGGAAAGGGAGATATGATTGGGGACGGGGAAAAGGGGGTGGGGGGGTGTGGGGGTGATGACAGATACTGAAACGCAGGGCGGGTACAACTAGTATATATATATATATATTGTGCACGCTGCCAAAATCCCTGAATAGGAGGATTCCTGTAGTGATGATGCGATCAAAGGAGGCAGACCCAAATACTGCCACGACCAGTGACGAAGTCTTTTACCGGCGAGCCAATGGTAGACCCTGTTGCCGATCAAGTCAATAATATGACTGACGTCACTGTTTATTGAATTTTTGTAAACCTAAAAATATTGGATTACCGTCACTAATTCATGTAACCATGGACTCTATAAAAATCTGAACTATCGGTAATAATGCTATACATGACCCATTCTAATACTGAGCTGGCATCACTAATGATTAAAACTGCAAATGCAAAATACTGGAGAAGCGTCGTTAATGGTTCAAACTGTCAATAACAAAAACTGGACTAACGTTAATAATGGTTCAATTGTCAACAACTACTAGACTAAGGTATCAGGAAAAAAATATACAACCAAACGAAAAGTAGTCCAACGAGCTTCACAATTTAACAAACACAAACAGAACGTTGCCACTACAGGGCCTTTATCAGAACATTGCATAAATCAATAAAACTACATGTACAGACATGAATAAAGATACTAATGCTTGAACCAGTCAACTCTAAATTCTTGACTAACGACTATAAGGTTTCAAATTGTCAACAACAAATAATAACGCCTCCAAAACTTGCAACTTTGAACCCCAACAGTTCTTCTTCTGCTTCTTTACGACTTCTTTTACCGTTTCGGGTGGCGAGGGAGATATTAGGTCCTGCTTCGTGCTTTTTCTGGCTGCTTCCACCAAAGACACATCGTGGTACTGTAGAATTTCTCCGATGTTATCCTTCCATATTGTTCTTGGTCTACCTCTTGCTCTACGTCCCTCTCCTCTTTTGGTATATGCCTTGAATGGTGAAGCATCAGATGGCATCTCTCCAAGGGGGCAAACCATTTGATTTGCTGTCTTTCTATGTAATTTATAATTGCTTCTGTGTTGACCTTATCTCATATGACCTCATTCCTGATTTTATCTTTTCTGGTCACTCCTACTGCCTTTCTCAGACACCTCATTTCCATGGTTACTAATTTTCTTTGATGTTTTGTTATGAGTGACCACGTCTGGCACTAGCAGCATAGGATGGGGAATGAATGTGCTTTGTATAAGATGTCTCTATGTGCTGATTCGGATTGCCTTGTGCTGCAACAGGGGAGCTAGCTGTCCCAATACTTGGCCAGCCTTACTGCATCTAATGCGAATTTCTTCGTCTAATTTACCATCTTTAGTGAATGTTGTTCCAAGACTTTTAAATGCAGATGCCTGTTTAATATATGTTAGCTCTAATGCTATATTTAAATCCTGCTTCTTTCTTCCTATTGACATAACTTCTGTGTTTTTTTTTTTCGATGTTGATTCTCATGTTGGACCCTGACAATTAGACTAATATAATTAATGGTTTAAATTCTTTCTACCCCAAACACTAGACCAATGCCATGAATGCTTTAAACTCCTAATCCCAAATACTAACATTCCTAATGAATGGTACTGTCGATTGTAAATGCTGAATAGCAGTAGCATCATAGAGCAGCGGACTCACTTGCCCTGGCAATTTGAAAGGAAGGAGGGGCAGGGGCGACCGACACGAAGATGGGCTCAGGAAATAAGTGACTTCTTGAGTGTGAAAGTTCATGAGGCGGGAGAACTGGAGAGAAACCGTGTTTTTTTTTTTTTTTTTCAGGCTGGCTGTGATGAAAGCGACATTCTGCAAAGGACCTGCTACATGATGATGATGATGATAGATAAATACATTTGAAAGAACCAGCTATTATTGACTTACTTTGTCCAGCAGGAAAGGAAAATATCAACGTTCCGTTTTCAGGATCCGTAGCGTTCACATTCAGAACAAATGTGGGAACATTTGAGTTTTCTGTAACATTTCCTGCGTAAACGCTCTGGTTCATAAAGAAGAGAAAAAATTCCGTCGTGAACATTATGTCGTGAACATTATGTCGTGAACATTATGTCGTGAACATTATGTCGTGAACATTATGTCGTGAACATTATGTCGTGAATATTATGTCGTGAACATTATGTCGTGAACATTATGTCGTGAACATTATGTCGTGAACATTATGTCGTGAACATTACTTCGTGAACATTATGTCGTGAATATTATGTCGTGAACATTATGTCGTGAATATTATGTCGTGAACATTACTTCGTGAACATTATGTCGTGAACATTACTTCGTGAACATTATGTCGTGAACATTATGTCGTGAACATTATGTCGTGAACATTATGTCGTGAACATTATGTCGTGAACATTACTTCGTGAACATTATGTCGTGAACATTACTTCGTGAACATTATGTCGTGAACATTATGTCGTGGACATTATGTCGTGAACATTATGTCGTGAACATTATGTCGTGAACATTATGTCGTGAACATTATGTCGTGAACATTACTTCGTGAACATTATGTCGTGAATATTATGTCGTGAACATTATGTCGTGAACATTATGTCGTGAACATTATGTCGTGAACATCGTGAACATTATGTCGTGAACATTATGTCGTGAACATTATGTCGTGAATATTATGTCGTGAACATTACTTCGTGAACATTATGTCGTGAACATTATGTCGTGAACATTATGTCGTGAACATTACTTCGTGAACATTATGTCGTGAATATTATGTCGTGAACATTACTTCGTGAACATTATGTCGTGAACATTATGTCGTGAACATTATGTCGTGAACATTACTTCGTGAACATTATGTCGTGAACATTATGTCGTGAACATTATGTCGTGAACATTATGTCGTGAACATTATGTCGTGAACATTATGTCGTGAACATTATGTCGTGAACATTATGTCGTGAACATTATGTCGTGAACATTACTTCGTGAACATTATGTCGTGAACATTATGTCGTGAACATTATGTCGTGAACATCGTGAACATTATGTCGTGAACATTATGTCGTGAACATTATGTCGTGAACATTATGTCGTGAACATTATGTCGTGAACATTATGTCGTGATCATTACTTCGTGAACATTATGTCGTGAACATTATCTCGTGAACATTACTTCGTAAACATTACTTCTTGGTCTGTATGTCAGTGCAGTCCCAGAGCAGAGTATCAATTATCGGTCGTCCTTAGTGGGATGCAATTTTTGTGTGTTATCCTAAAACCCCACCCTGGCTTCTGCCGGGGGTCCTGAACATAGCTGGGTCATAAATATATGGCCACACGGCTGAAAGGGGTTTCTGGAACCTCTCCACAGGTGATCCTCATCCGCATGGTGGCACTTTGTGTCACCAGATGTTTATCGCTTGTGTGATGTCCTGGTGCGGTACATCTACCTACCCACCTACCTACCTATCACCTACCATAGCAGAAGCGTTGTTAGCGTACATAATGTTCAGCCTTCACACGTTCTAAACCATGACATATGAGGTAGGATGGTCTATTCTTTTTTTCTTCTTTGAAATCGACTGTTAGAACATGCGCAACTGAAACGATGGCTTGTGCCTCTCGTCTGCTACTTTGAATGCTGCTGTCTGTAGTGTAGGTTCCGCAGCGTCCCAGGTTTTGACGTCTTTATTTAATGAAACCATATGTTTACATCTTCTTCTTTTACTCTTCCACCTTGTACCTCATCGTAGTGTCTGGAGGGTGGTGGGGTTGGGGGGGTGGGTGGGTGGGGTGGGGGGATATGTAACATTTGTATATGAGCTCTGTCAAGAGCACTATTAGGACGGATGTTCATTTCTGTAAGGCTGTTCTTAATGCCATCTCTCCATATTTTCTGAGGTCTTTCACTGGCTCTATACCCGTTGTAACGTTTTAGTGTTGCTCGCTGTGGCAGATAGCACGAGGTCATTTTTGTTAAGTGTCCAAACTACGTAATTTGTTGTTCTTTGATGACCTGTAAGACTGGATTTATTTCTAGCATTTGTCTGATTTCGTGAGTTCGTATTCTGTCTTTTCTTGAAACTCCATCAGCCCTTCTAAGGCGTTTAATCTCTGTTGTCAAAATGTTACGTTCACTGGAGGATGTGAGTCTCCACACTTGGCACTGATAGCTGTGTGCATATTTACTCAAATAAGAAAGGGATACTAATTTCTAAGCATGAGAAATGACTTGGTTTACAACTGCGGTCTTCAACCTGTCTGTTTCCCTTGCTGATATTATCCTCTTTTTTAACTACATTTGTTATGTCAGTGGAGGTGGGGGTTTCAGTCCAGAAGTAGACGAACAGCCAGAAATTTCCGCCAGAGTTAACAGCCGGTGAACGCGAAGAAAAAGAAAAAGAAGATTTACGTAAAGCGAGGGGACGACCTGAAAAAGATGTTTAATCTGCACCTCCCCCACCCCGCCAACCTGTATAGGTTCCCGTTTTAGGGCTTTTTTCATGCATTTCGCATTTTTTAAAACTATCACTATTAGTATGTGTCATTCAAAACATCTTTTTTACTTTATTATAATTATGCATATAAACAATGCCCCCTTTACCTGCAGACAAATGGTAAGGGGCTAAGCCTGCTCCCCCTTCCACATATTTAATATAGGATAAGTTGCAAAAGGGGCTAAGTATTGTTCAAGTGCTTAATAAAAATGATTATAATAATAAAAGCGCTGGACACACACAACCCCCACTCCCCTTTCCCAAATTTCCCAATGTTTTCTTTGTATCAGCGTCCCTGGATTGAAGTTATAAAAAAAGGCGACGGTAGTCATCGTGGTGTATTTAGTTGTAGCGATGCAAATAGTCATGATTCTTTGCAAACAAGTACACTAACAACTTGATACCTGCACTCTCATAAATCACCTATTAGTAAGATTTTTGGGGATCTTCGCCGGAGCTACGGAGTTCGTGCTGTGCGTGAAACACTCTGCAGGCGGGTGGCCGTTCTGTTGAGAGAGACAGGGCCATATGGAATAAAAACCCAGAGGAATTAAAGCGATCCTTTTAATTGTAACTTCAATACTTACAAGTAGGAAGTGTGGAGGCTTGTTCACAGCTATCACTGCTATGTTGACATCGGCAAAGGATTTTTTTGCAACGTTGTCTGAACTGAAGGCGTAAACTGTACAGTTGATCGTTGATGATCGCGATGTATCTAGTGTTGCATTCAGGTACAGGATACCTGAGCAAAGTAGTAACGAAATGTATACACGCAGTATTAAAGAAAGTCGCTATGGGTCAATAGGTACATTCTTTACTGAGGTTTCAGCCCAAGATTCTACGTCAGATGACAAATCAGCTGTCTAGAAAAACACACACACACACACACACATTATACTATAAACATATATATATATATATATATATATATATATATATATATATACACACAATATATATATATAAACGTATATATATATATATATATATATATATATATATATATAGAGAGAGAGAGAGAGAGAGAGAGAGAGAGAGAGATACATGTGTGTGTGCGTGGAAGTGAGTGAGTGAGTAAACCCATAAAAATATACTACATAATTTTGTGACCAGCATATTTCGGCGAATCTCTTTAGTTTCATTGTTTTAAATGCATAACAAGCACAAAAGATACATGATGTGTTGTGCTTTGTTATATATTGAGGTAAGCTCTGTATTAAATACATCTGTTTAGACGTAGTAATATGTGTTGAGCAATAAATAGTTTAATATAGTTTGGGTTTTCATTTTCTTTCTTTGATTCACCATTGGAAAACACTATTTTTAATGTATATCTGTGCCTGCGGGTTTGTTTATGAGCGAGATAGGGAAAGAAAGAAAGGAGGAAGAGGGGGGATGAGGGGGGGGGGGGGGTGTTGCGCTTGTGCCATTGGAAAACACTGTTTCGTGCTCGTGTCGATTTCTATAAAATAATAAAAGGAAAGTTATGCACCCCCCCCCCCCCCCCCCCCCCCCCCCCCCACCAGATAACAGCCAAGAACCACTCCGCGAACTCGAGACCGATATAGATGGAACCAGCCACTGAAAAAAAGCAAAGCCATATCGGCACCGAAACGACTGCATTCCAGCCAGCACTCCGAAATAGAGGAGACTTTAGCAGCACAATACCAGATAGTCAGGGGAGGTAGTAGTAGTAGACTTTTACCCCATCAGGACATCACACAAGCGATAAACACCCGATGACACAGAGTACCACCATGTGAATGAGGATCACCCGTGGAGAGGTCCCAGAAACAGTGTTCAGCCATTAGACAATATTTATGGTCGGGCTATATTGCGGCCGTGGCGTCCGTGGCTAAGGCGTTGAGAGTCCGACTCGTAATCCAACATGCCGCGATCGTAAACCCACTACGGGCTGCGTGGATTTTTATCGTGTTATGGGACGTCGCAGGTCGACCCAGCTGCAAATGGGTACCAGGATGGCTGTCCTGTGAAAGTAAAAACGGCCGGTGTAATGCTGACCACATTTCCCAACGAGTGCCGATTGGTCAGTACAAATATGGGTGCTCTTCCCATATGCCCGATGCGCCTAAAAGCGTGAAAAGGGATCTTACTTACTTATTACTATATTGTGGCCCCTGGCAAGATCTAGGGTGCGGCTTCAAAATAGAGAAACATTGCATCTCACAAGGATATGACAAGATATATAAGGGGAGGTAAATAGACAAGAACTTCTAGTGCTAACAGAATCACCCAATGAAATCACAGCAATATCTAGTGCCACGATTATAATCAAAGTTCCATACATAGGGGTTGAACACGGTTTATCAAAATCAGTGGATCTCAACCTTCCTAATACCTCGACCCTTTAATACAGTTCCTCGTGTTTTTTTTTTTTTTTTTTTTTTTTTGGTTTTTTTTTTTTTTTACTACTTCAGAACTTCATTTAATATATGTTTTCCGGTGGTCTTAGACTGCCCCTGTGAAATGGTCGGTCGACCCCGAAAGGGGTCGCGACCAACAGATTGAGAACCTCTGATCTAAATATTGAATTGAATTAAATGATGCCCCGCTTTTTCATGAAAAGAATGTTACACGGTAATTTTCAACGACAGGTCTGTTTTAACCATATGATAGGCCCTAGAGCAGAGCAATGTGCAATATACCGACAGTTTCATTAGCTTTTATATACCTCTAGATTTGCATTATGTAGGATAACAGCCTTGAGGATGAGAATCGGCTACAAATCCCAGAAAGAACGTTCAACCGTATAGTCATATCTGTTAATCTGTTATAATAGGGAATTACAAAGCGGATACGACGTAACCTGTAGTCCCATGATTCTTCTTCTTTTCCTTCTTCTTCTCTTCCACCTTGTACCTTATCGAAGTGTCGTGGGGAGATGTAACATTCGTTGACGAGCTCTGTCAAGAGCACTATTAAAACTGATGTTGATTTCTGTAAGGCTGCTTTTAATGCCATTACTCCATATTTCCCGAAGTCTTCCACTCGCTATATACCCGTTGTAACCTTTTAGTGTGGCTCGCTGTGGCTGATAGTACTAGGGCATTCTTGTTAGGTGTCCAAACCACTCTATGGGTTGCTCTTTGGTGACTTTAAGACTGGCATTATTACTAGCATTCGTCTGATTAAACATGTAAACTTCGATAAAATACACTTTTACTTATTGACAAGTAAAGTTTGTATATAAGACTTTTCCTTCCAATGTTACATAAGGGTTACGATTTTGAGTGCATAGTATTATATGGGCATTTGATGTAGGATGTGGTCAACTCAGAATCAACTTTGTCGAATGTGTAATTACTGTATTGCTATTTGATAAAGACTGGTCTGGTGTCCATTTCTATTTGTATGCTAATATCGGTACCCCTCCCCCCTTCCCTCTTTTGTTCCCGCCCCCTTCCCGGGTTGAACCTTTCAATCATAGTTTGTGTCCCAGTTAGTTACTTTAATAGATGATTTAAAGGCTAAATCAGCGTGGTTAGGGAGGCATGGTAGGCAAATGGCTATTCCTGCCACTGGGCTCGAATCACAGACCTAGTGAATTTTTCTGTTCACTTAGCTAATAAGTCGGGGAAGGGAATAGGAATACCCAGCATTACAAAGGTCGATCTAGGATAAGGTTCTTACCGGGAAATTTCATGGAAATAAAGACAGCAGGCGTGCTGCTGACCACACTATCCGTTGTGTGTTCATTAGACTACAAAATATGCCTAAAGCGGAGATATCCTACTGGGTGAAGTTGAACCGCACTAGGACAATACACTGAACAATTAACACCCGGCGATGCAAAGTGTCACTATTCGGATAAGTATCTCTTAGGTATAAATCTCCAAAATCTCATTTAACCGTAAGGTTATACCGGGGTTCTTGACTGTGACAAAGTCCCAAAAAGTCGAGATGGTTTGGGATATGTGAATGATTGGATATGGTACCATTTACAGGTACCTAAACATGGACACCGCGAGAACAGAGTCTTAGGATTTCACGGCGAATAAGAAGTTCTGATAAATATAAGATGACTAATGAAAACGTTAAGGCTGAAGCACGGTGTAAGGGGGAATAATGCTGGGCTCATATGAAAGTTCCAGCGGCGGGAAAATTGGCAAAAGATTAAGTAGCCATGAGACAAAAGTGGTGAAATGGACTTAATTTGTGATGATGACGATGATGATGATGATGATGAGGAGGAGGAGGATGATGATGATGATGATGATGATGATGATGAAGGAAAGAGTATGTACCTGTATTGCTGTCTATTACCAGTGAATCAGGCGAGCACCCGCCGTTAAGACCGTACGTTATCTTAGAGTTGTATGTGTAAGGTGCGTCTGCATCCGTTGCTGACAGACCTAGAACTGGTGTGCCAACTGTTTCATTTGCTGAAATCGCTGGAAATGAATGACATCAAAAATATTAACAGAAGCATTATAGCAATAGTGGTGTAAGCAGTAGTAGTAGCAGTGGTAGTAGCAGTGATTGTAGTAAAAGTAGTAGTAGCGGTGGTAGCAGTCGTAGAATTCACAGTGCCTTTTGTACTAGTGGTAAAAGTTAACATGGGTGTTACTGATAGTGGTACAAAGTAGCTGAGGTAGTGATGGTGGTGGCAGAGGTGGTCGTAGTAATAATAATTGTAGTACATTTCTAGTAGTAAGGCTACAGTAGTAATGGTAGCAGTTGTATCAACAATAGCAGTAGTTATTGCAGCGACTGTGGCTGTTGTAGTAGTAGAATGAAGAGGATAGGGAGGATGCGGATTGGTAACAGCAGCAACAACAACAGAAGCAGCAGCACTACTGTACAACAGCAGCAGCAATACAATAAAATAACATGTTTAACAAATCAGACAGACATATCGGAGTTTAGTTTATCTAACTACCGATATATAACTGCTTTGTCCCCATCTTCAGCAGTCACCTAAGAATTTTAGCCACAGCAGAATTTAGGTTCCTTTCGTGACGGTGGCAGTCTGATTATATGTTCACAATATCAAACGCTTTTGAATGTTTGGTATCGGCTGCATCGCCTTCTCACTCCTCGTTGCAAAAGTGTTTTCCAAATGCTGATGATCTATTCGATCTTCTGCATTGTTCTCATGCTCCCATAAGGTCCGTAAGTAACTCTTGTTCTTCAAAGTAGAGTAGACGGACGAGTGATAGTGCGCGAAAATTTCAAGGTGGCTTTCAAAAATGCCTGCTCAACCGTACAGCGGATACAGTGGAAACTACTATGAGAAATTGAATGTACCTTATTGCAGAACCTTTTCTCTCAGAAACAACGCTCTAGCTTTGTATACCAGACTTTCTAACTTCTAAATAGCAGCACATGTCATTTTAGCTAAACATTATAATTGTATACTATGGGTCCCATTTAAAAAAAAAAAAAAAAAAAAAACTACCATACTGAACCAGTGAAAAGCATTTATTTAAATATTCCCTTTGTGAATATCATACATTGAGCTACTCTGAACAAAGATTATACCATACATTGAAATACTCTGAACACATTAGGTACAAGACACTGAAATACGCTGTCTAATACAAAGAATACCGAACGTTGAAATACTGCCAGAACATAGTGAATACCATACACTGAAATACTGTCAGAACTAGGTAAATGTCCTATACTCAAATACTGTCTGAACATGGTGAATACCATACACTGAAATACTGTCAGAACTTGGTAAATGTCCTATAATCAAATACTGTCTGAACATGGTGAATACCATACACTGATCATGATGAATACCACACACTGGAATCCTATCAGAACGCAGAGAATACCATGCACTAAAATACTGTAAAAACACGATAAATATCGCACTTTAAAATACTGTCTTTAAAAAGTAAATAATATGCATTGCAATACTGTTCAAACACAGTGAATACCATACACTGAAATGCTGTCTGAACACAGTGGGTATAATATAATAAAATACTGCCTAAACACAGTGAGTACACTGCATTGAAATATTGTATAAACATAGAGACTACCATTCATTAAAATGCTGTCTGAACGCAGTATGTACTATGTATTGAAATACCCTTTCTACATGAACACAGTGCAGGTCATGCACTGACACACGTTGAAATACTGATTCTACATGGAACATTGGAGATCACACGTTGAAACAGTGAGTGTATATGAAACAGTTGAGACCACACGTTGCAATCATGACTAAAAGAAAAAGTGGAAACCACACGTTGAAATACTGAGTGTGTATGAAACAGAGGAGACCACACGTTCAAATACTGACTCTACATGACATAGTGGAGACCACACATTGAAGTACTAAATGTTCATGAAATAGTGGAGACCACTCGTTGAAATGCTGACTCTGCATGACCCAGTGGAGGTGAAACATTGAAATACCGACTCTACATTGAAACAGTGTGATATCACATGTTGAAATACTGACTCTACATTAAAACAACCATGACCACACGTTGAAATGCCGATTTTACGTGACACAGTGGGGATCACACATTAAAATACTGACTCTAAATGACACAGTGGAGACCACATATTGAAAGAGCAACTCTGCATTGAAGCAGTGGAGTCCACACGTTGAAATACTGACTCTAAATGACACAGTGGAGATCAGACATTGAAATACTCACTGTTCTTGAATAAATTCAACGTGAACTGCGGCGCATGGTTGTCCTCACCCACTATGTGTGTGAAAAAGGTCACTTTTGTATCTGGGCCTTGAGTTCCCTTCGGAACTACTTTAACAATGATCTGTTTTAGACTGATAGCACAATTTCAAATGTCAGTAGGATAATGTAATCTCTTCATACCAGGCAAATCATCGAGCATTTATTGGTTGCTATTTACATGATGTACTTATCTCTACTTTTGATGCCCAGCTGTTGTGTGTTTATTTAACTTATTGAATTGTTACTCTAAAATACTTGGCTATCCTCCGGATAACGGACACAAAAGATGGCGGATAATGGCGGCCAAAAACAGGGCCTCAGTTACGTGCAATTAAGCACTTCCGGCGACTTAATTTGCGGTTTTCCGGCGACTACCTCCACCGCCAGAGTCACCCACGCCGCTCACGACTCGTGGATTGGGGCTAAACTAGATGGCTAGGACTCACGAGCAAAGCTGCAGAAGATGCAGAAGCTGCTACTCAGGGAAAACTTAAGCAAATGCAAAAAAATATGTTGATGTGTCTGGGAGTTTTCGAAATATTTGTTATAAATCTGACGGCATAAGTTTCGAAACACACTATACCATTGTTGCAACTATCATTAGTTGTAATAATTGTAACGCGCAATGATGTTACCATCGAGATGTTTTTTATGTATATTAATTGTAACCTCTAGGAAGAAAAAAATGCATTTAATAGATCCGTTTACCTATTTAAATAGGATTTTCGATTATCAGGGAATTAACAGCAAAGAAATGCGTATGACACGAACTAGCAAAAACAAGAGCATCTTGAACATTTTCAGCAAAATATGAGCTCTTCATTGTACAGTTTTAATATCAGATTACATATTTATAGTTCTAATATGGTTTCAATTTCAGCAAATGCCAATGAAAGTTAGAGAAGCACTGAAATATGGAGGAAAGGTTAAACGGATTCGAAAACATATGTCTGGGGAAACAGATTTTGATTAAACGGGATTAGTTCAAAACATAAAAGATAACACAAGTCAACAACCAAAATGTACCAGTATTGAAAAAGCTGATCCTAACTAATTTGGGTGTGCTGAAAACGAAAATGACATAAACAAATTGGATCTAGTTTTCAAGACATATGCTGCAAGTTGTATTTAATTACAGGGGCTATATACATGATGTGTTTTTTCTCTATATTTACCTATCTTTGACGTAACTGTTGTGGGCTATTTTCTAATGACCAGTAATTATGTTACTAGAAGTCTATGGTGCAAACATCACATCACATCACCTTTCTGCATAAATAATATCTTACTTTAAAAATCTGTGGTCATTAGTTAGTGCATTTATCCCTATCGAAATTATCATAGTCAGACATGTGTGAACAGCACTAATAATTTCTGGTATATATGTGATGAGGGTAATTTCTATCATAACAATGAAACATAACTAAAGTGATTAGGAAGAAATACAGTTTGTTCTGAGGCTGCAGAATAAGAGATCAATATAAGAGCTGGGTACCACATATACGCTGCAATTCATGTGTAGCACACCTTACAATGGGGCTGGCTGGCAAAAAATAAGCTATGCTTTTTGCGGTCCCAATAATTTGGACAGAGCCCACTGATCATCTTTACAATTATTACTCTTTGCATGGTCCCTTCAGCTGGAAAAGGTATATCAGTGAAGAAAAAAATGGACTCTGGAATATCCAAACATCCCTTTTGCAATATGTACGTGCCAGAATCGATCTACTGATGAAGAATGGGACACATTGATAACTAGTACTGTTGCTGTCTGTGAGTTGGATTGCCGGGCCTGAAATTACCATTATATTTGAATACATTTGCCAGTTGGGCAATCATTACAGTCTGAGAGGTAAGAAGGTGAAGAGTCCAACCCTTGATGACACATTAAGCTGGGCCTCATGAAAAAAAAATTGTTTTAACGGCAATTAAGAGAACAGATGAGATCTTCAAATACCTCATCAGAAAATGTCCGGGGCTGAGTGAATCTAAAATAAGAGAGGGAGTACTTACTGGTTGGCAAATTCTAAAACTTCTTCATGATGATGAGTGTCTTTGTGTATTGCATGGCATGGAAAAAGCAACATGGCTAGCTAGTGTTAGCAGAGAAATGTCAAGACGTTCTTTAGCACCATGAGCTAGAAAAAGATCATGCAATTTTAGGCGATACAGACGACACAGACAGAGAATTACAAAATATGCACTGAAGTGATGAAAATAGTTCGAAGACGCCAGGACATTCATGAGTAACCATACGACGAGTGGCCATGATAGGGGCTAGATGTACCAGATTGGTTTCTATACAAAGATTTCACAGGATAGAACGAAACCAGTAATCCAATGCTAGCCCGTTCTGACGTTTAAAAGGCACAGCAAGAGGATGATGCAAATGTTGATAGTGATGTTTTGTAATTGTTATTGATGATGATGACGACGATGATGATAATGGTGAGGAGGAGGATGATGATCGTGAATTACAGAAAGTGACACATCACCTGCCGAGGTGTTCTATCTTATTAAACAAATCTAACTGTATAACTTACTTGTTTGCTCCAGTATTATCGTACTGTAATGGAGAATCCAAAAATACCTCTCCCGTATCCTGCTTCACGTCCAAATAAGGAATTGAACCTACACAATGTAGAGAGATTACACAAAAGTCTTTACATTTTATGTATTCATTTTATGAAAGCTTGATGAAACTTTATTAACCGTATTTTAATATGCTTTTAAGCCATGCAATATAAGTTTTCTTTTTTTTCTAAATTGCTACTATATCACTAAATGAAGTTATGGTAACATCCAGGTAGATGAACTGGCCCATTAACCAGGAGATGACAAGGAACGGAGCCGGTCATCAAACCAGTTTTCCCATTAACTAGCACACGTCTTTACCCACGTAGGAATGCAGATTCCACCTAGCTGGTGTATCAGTTAAGGGTGCTATAATTATTACTTCTTTGAGGGTTGAAAGGGGTATTTTAGATCTGCCATCCAAAATGAAGTGTGGTATGGTAAACCTTTAGGTAGCACTCCGCAGTACCGTCTAAACGCATTGGCCCGCTGGGGACTTTCCCGAGAGCCCTACGAGCATAAGGGCACTATGCTAATCAACTATTTACATTTTATTCCTCTGAGTGGTTGTGGTAAAGGCCCCAGTTTACTGGGTTGCACAAGGGCCCATAATTCCAATTTCAATTCAGTTTCGTCCTATTTAGGACGAAATTTTTTGTCATTTGAAGCCCCATCCTGGTTTTGCCAGGGGCCGCAATATAGGCAGGCCATAAATATGGCCAATTGTCTGAACGCGGTTTCTGGGACCTCTTCACGGCGATCCTCACCCACATGGTGGCACTTTGTGTCATCTGGTGTTTATCGCTTGTGTGATGTCCTAGTAGGGTAGAAAGTCAGGTCAAGTTAGCCCATAATTCTGTTAAGATGGTTCTGGCATCACAGACGGGACCGACCGATTGGTCGATCATTAACTAGCATTAACGTGTGGCCCTCTGGCCCAGAGGTCAATAAGTGCATTTCCCAATCCTTATGTACCAGGGTTTGGTTTCTGCGTGGGACATCTAGAAAAGGGCAGCAGTATAAGACTGGAAGAAACTGGGGTATTTGGGGGGGGGGGGGGTAATGTTTCAAAAGAGAGCTAAGAGAGCTATTGAAACCTATATCCATCTTCTCTATGATTCGGAGCATCGTTGAACTTTGTCAAAAGCGCCTTACACGCAACATATGGGTGGTCGGGGTAGAGCAGTAGCTGGGTGGTTGCCTGCCCGACTTAAGGCCTAAGGGGGTCAAACAGGCTTCATCGATCAGTGCGTACGCTACGGGTTGCTACCTGACAGTTTACAATAACACCCTGAGATTTTAAAAAAAAAATCTTAGTCTGGACAGCAGACCAACAAGGCAGAACCCAGATACCCCGTTCAACCTCCAAAGAAGTTATGATTAGTGCTCCCGTAGCAGCTACACCTGCCATGTCCTATGCGGCTAAAGACGTTCAAATGGGAAATTAAACTGATTTTTAAAACAGGACCTTAACTCTCAGGTCGACCCAGGTTCAACCGGGTATCAGGAAATATCATGGGATGTAAAGGGAGGCTAACATGATTTTCAGCACGTTACCCATCGAGTATAGATTGGTCTTTATGGGTCTAGCAATAGATATCGTATATTCTCTGGCCTTGACGTGATCTCATAGTTTTTTTTTTAATTATATTTATTTATAAACAGAATGGAAGAATAAATAGACATACAAACTGCACAAAAGTATATAGTAATGGTGATAATGATGATGACGATAATGAGGATGATGATGAGGATTGTGATGAGGATTGTGATGATGATGAGGATGATGATGATGATGATGACGATGATGATGATGAGAATGATGATGATAATAATGACGATGATGATGGTGATGATGACGACCACGACGACGATGATGATGAGGGTGATGTGATGGTGTGACAACGATGACAATAATGACAATAATGAAGGCGATGATGAGGAAGACGACAACGATTATGATGATTAGATGATGATGATAATAATGAAGATGATAACAATAATAATGATGATAATAATAATGATGGTGAGGATGATAACGACGATGATGATGGTGATGATGATAACGACGATGATGATGATGATGATGGTGATAGCGATGATGATGACTATGATGATGAAGAGTGAATATGTTGAACATATAATAGCTTCATGTCAGTACTTGGTGAGTCCCGAAAGTAATCCAGGTTTTTGTTGCCGTCAAAAGTTGTACAGTTCAGCTGTCCTAAGACAGTTTTTACTGTCGTATTCTCCATGACAGCAACAACAATGCTGGATGGGCTGCATCTCTATGACAAATAAACAAAAATTAGTTGCGTATCCCTTACAGGACGTTGCAGAACCAACCACAAAGTTTCTTTGCATGTTGTGGTTTTTCTAAACAAACTTACCTCGAAACCAACGCAAAGGAAAACAAAATATAGGATTTCTGCTGATAACCTGGAAAAATGCTGTCTTTGACTTCACTGTTTACTAAGGAAAAAAAGACAGTCTCATTGGCTTTGATGCAGATGCAGGCCATCTGGCAGCAGACAATTTTACATTGATTTCGATGAAGTGTTTGAGCCATTCAGAAAGCAATGACAAAATTCGAAGTAAATTCGCGTAGTAAGATTATAAACATTCAGCAAATGATGAGGCTGGTTTTGTTTTCCACATCTTGTAACAAATATGCAATAAACACAATTACAACATAGAAGCAAACATTTTCATTACTTCCTGTATGTATCACGTTTGCGGTGTAGACGGGGTAATGGAAGGAGGGGAATCTCTGAGTCTGAGAATTTAGTACTGCATGTCTGGGGTTTTCATCTCAGACTGTGCATGTTAAAATCCCCCCCCCCCCCCCCCCCAATCCTTCAAACGCGACATGAAAATCTCCATAACATTGAACGGAGGAATCAAACCAAGCTCTCCTACTTAAGAGCTAGTTGTTCTAGCCACTCAACGAGCCACTTCTCTGAGAATATGCAGCTAACTTTAACTAGGGAGAAACAGACAACAGAGTTTATTTGTTTCGTGTGTGTTCTTTTTCAGGGATTATTTTCACGCTAATAATACACTCGGCATATGTCGCTTGATCCATATACATATATAGAACTATCGACAGGTGATTAGTCAACATCAGACGTGCCATGTTTACTTCCCGGGACATTCCTGGTTTCCCATTTCAGCTCGGATTCACCTGACAGCCAAGGTCATTTTATTCAAATCTAACATAATGCGGGATTCGAACATAAAACCTTCGAGATGGTGGCCATTTCGCTACCGCGAATTCATATTTATGGCTGCTGAATCTAATTTAATTATATACTGCAGAATCATAACAGCCGAGTGCTGACAGTGTTACTCGTGGACATTGACTGAAGAACACAAAAGAAAAATGACCACCAGCGAAATGAGATATTTGAGAAAGGCCGTGAACAAAACTAGAAGAGATCATGTGAGAAACGAAGATATTAAAGGATCTATTGAAACAAAACACATAATTAATTCACTAAGAAAAAGGCTGAAATGGTTTTGTCATTTATTGAGAATGAATCCGGTCATGTCAGCAATGAGAGCCTAAGACATGAAAGTTAAAACACCATGAGGTAAGCGACGACAATGAAAATACTGATTGATGGAGTCACATTTTGTAATGTCGTCTGGTGCGAACCTCGGTGTGTGATGTAAAAGTGTCTCAGATATTCCATCTATTCATTATTTACACAGGATGCCCCTAGCTCATCGCCCCCCTTCACCCCTCCTCGTGTCTGAACGTCTCTCCGTGGTGCACTACCCTGTGCCATTCTTGAAACATGTTTGAACCATGTGGTCTATTGTCTCTTAAAGTAATCCAGCACCGCTTCCGTCGTAATTATTTTACTCCTATGGTTTAGACCCACCCCCTCCCCTCTCCCCCCCCCCCCCCTTCCTTTTTCCATCCCCTCTTTTTTTTCTCTCCATGCCCCGCTTTTCAAGAGTATACATTTTTCTAGCTGTTTGTCTGCTGTGAAATTCGCTTGGAGTGACAGAGTTAACGGCCCGTGGCTCAACATTTGCTGCCAGTCAGTGTTAGTGGCTTTGGAGTTGAGAACGCGGTTTGGCTATCCCGTTATACCAGAGCTTGAAGTCAGTTAGGAAATGGGGCAGTACATAAATTACTTTATAGCAATATAACGATTCATCAGAGCATGTATACGCTGCTTGCGTTCACCAGAAAATTATTTTACGAGTGATGAACCTAAAACACTGAAAGAAACATACAGATAACGGATAATTAAAATTAGTTGTGTATCCTTTATATGCCTTTGCAGAACCAAATTTGTCATTTGTGTGTGATGTTGCGTGTATGTTTGCGCGCGCGCGCGTGTGTGTGTATGTGTGTGTGCGTGCTTTTTTTTCTGCTCGAATGGTTACATTCAGTAGTTCCCCTTAGTACTAAACTATGGGCTCTGGATACCATCGTTGAAATCAACTGAAAGCGGTCTGCTGCCAAATCGCCCTTAGTTGAAATCCAACAAAGTATCTCAGCATTACAAACAGTTTAGCACCGCCACACTACACGCATAATTCGCTAACTTTCCATCCACCTACGCGGACTGGTTACTCAGTTACCATAGGATGCCCATCTGTTGCCCAGATACACTATATTATATCATTGAACATAGACGGGAGGGGAGTGGGGGCTGAGTGGCCTCGGGGTATGGCATCCTCTTGGGTTCAAACCCCGGTGAAAGCTGAGATTTTTTTCATGTGGACTTCTGTTACTTTTCCCTGTTCTCTGGGTAGTAAGACCAGACGCCCGTGTGTATTGTTGTGCACCTTAGCATTTGGAAATTGAAAAAAAAAGAATAGACTAGCGGCTCTGTCCAGGCAAAATGTGGGGTTACAAATCTACCCAAAGTATTTTAGGATCATCGCCGGTGCAGCGGAATTCGTGCGCTGCGGTGTGATTTTTTAGACAGGCTTGCGTTAGAAGTATAACGGAGCACTTATGGATTGCACCCGTGTGCCATGATGTTGATCTGTTAAAAAACATAAACAAAAACATTGAACATTGTTTTCGGGATGTGCAGCTATTTGATTCTCATCCGTATGTATGCTAAACCTAGATACTTCTTCAGGGATCTCTACTAAAGCGCCTAATACACTGTGCACCATAAACTGGAATGACATCTCAACGCCTCTAATGTTTCCTCGAAGCTTAGTTGTCAGGTTGTGGCTTAGGCGTTGCGAGCCGACTCGTAATTCCAACGTACCGCTATCGAAACCCACTGCTGGCTGCGTGGATTTGTATCATGGTATGGGGCATCGCAGCTGGACCCAGCCTAAAAAGGGTACCAGGATGTATGTCCTGGGGAAGTAAAGACTGCCGGCGTAATGCTGACCACATTACCCACCCAGTGCCGATTAGACTGTAAAAATATGGGTGCTCTTTCTGTATGCCCGATTCGCCTACAGGCGTAAAAATGAATATTTACTTTTACTTTAGTTGTCAGGTGTTCTAGGTGAGGTCACATGTTGATTTACAGCTTCGTCAAGAGATGACAGTATTGGAAGACACGTTCTGTAGTCTGTTTAGTACAAAGACACCGGCAGATGGCTAAAAAGCTCATACCTAATGTAAATGTTGGGTGAGTCTGCAGCAGTGTTGCCACTTTTCTTTGACAAAAAACATTGTAAAAGGGCTTTGAAAAATCTAAAAACATCTAAATTTTCATGGAAAACATCTGAAACAAACATCCAAATGGAAAGAGTCACAAGTTACATAGCAATTGATATGACTTATCCTAAAGAATCGTGTCCTCATCTTTACTGAGGTCTGCCTCACAGGGTCCACAGGATAAACTTAGCGCGGATGATGAAGTTGAAGCTTCAGATCCAAAATGACTCTGGTGCGTTAGCTGTTCCAGTTTCATTTAATACCCAATCAGGGAGCTGATAAGTAAAACAGCCTTTTTCTACACTTATCAGCCAAATTTTATTGTCAAGATAGCATTTTAAAAGTCCAGTTTCATCCTGTTTCTTAGGTTAGAATTGATAAATTCACTCAAAATGAAAAGATCTAGAAAACATCTACCATCTAAACGTCAAAAACGCTATCTAAATGCAATGGAAAAAATCTAAATCTGGATGTAAAACATCCGAAGTGGCAACACTGGTCTGCAATGTCCAGTGCGTAAACGAAAAATGTGACTTCATCTGTTTTGACTGACTGACGTTCAACCCCACGAGGGGCGATAAACACCCGGCGTCACAATGTGTCACGATTAGGATGAGAATCATCCAAGCGCAAACCCAGAAACCCTACTGAACCATTAGGTTATATTTAGGGTCCCGACAAGAGCCGGGGTGGTCTTAAGATATGTAGAAGAAAAAAAAACTGCGTTCCATAATGTGGCATCAAGTATGTCTGTTCTGCTCAGGTGGTTGAGGAAATCATTTTTATGGTTATAATGGTGGTGGTAGATATAAACCTAGATACTATTTTTAATAGGTAGTCGCGGATCGGAAGGTTATGGGTTCGCTCCCTGGCGGAGCCGGACTTTTTTCAAAAGTGACCTTGACTTCCAGGTCGACCCAGCCTTGAGTGGGTACCAGGTGCAGTCCCGGGAAGTCCGACCCCATATTCCCTATACCCCTAAAGGCGTGGAAAAGGGTCCTTTACTTTACTTTACTTTATTTCCTTTACTATTTTAAGTAGTGAGCGCGCGCGCGCACGCACGCACGCACCCATCCACCCACCCACCCACCCACACACACACATGCACACACACGCACACACACACACGCACGCACACACACGCACACACACGCACACACACACACACACACAATATAGTTACCGGAGGATACACGCTGACTGGCAACACGTAGACGGTTTTTGTTCCGGTTGTTCCAGTTGTGTCCCCTGGGAAGTTAAAGGCTCTGAATGTCAAGATATATGAAGGTTTGTTCGCGTAGCTCAGCGGTTTAACCACAATGATGTCACATGTTTGTTCATCGACGGCAAATACACCATCCTCATTGCCGGTTACTGTGGAATGATAAAGAGACAGACACATCGCAGATCTTAGGACATAAGCTAACTAAGCTTTAACTTAGGGCGTGACAACTGCAGGGGCCTTAACAAATTCATATTTTTCGTTCACAAATCAAAGACAACCGTCCTCATAAAGGACGCAATTTTTCGTTATTTTGATGACCCACCCTGGCTATTGCCGAAGGGTTTAATATAACCCAACCTATGGGTTGAACGGGGTATCTTGAACCTGTCCCTTAGTGATCCTCATCCGAATGGTGGCCCTTTGTGTCATTAGGTGTTTATCGCTGGGTGTGATGTCCTGGTGGAGTACATCATCATTCATTCGTCGTAGTTCACAAATGCAATTTGTATTTAAACACAGCCTTTAAGACGCTTTTATAATATAATTTCTGTGATTTTGCTGACACATTCTTTATTATTTCTTTTGCTAAAAATTTTACAGAAATATAATTTCCATTATGCATTTTTAAAAGGCGTTGTCTAAAGGTAGTCACCGTGCTATCGCGGCTAGATTCTCTTTAACAATGATCGATTCTCTTAACAATGATCTTGACTCCCAGGTCAACCCAACACTGAGTGAATACCAGGTAAAGTCTTGGAAAATAAAGGCGGCCTACGTGATTCTGACCACATCATCTTCTGCGTGTAGATTGGTTTATAAAATATAGTTCTAGCACTTTATGCACAATACGCCTGAAAGTATTGAAAAGGGTCTTTTACTTTATAAATTGAATGTTTTTCTTTACTTTATATATTTTAATGTTTTTCTTTACTTTATATATTTTAATGTTTTTCTTTACTTTATATATTTTAATGTTTTTCTTTACTTTATATATTTTAATGTTTTCTTTACTTTATATATTTTAATGTTTTTCTTTACTTTATATATTTTAATGTTTTCTTTACTTTATATATTTTAATGTTTTTCTTTACTTTATATATTTTAATGTTTTTATTTACTTTATATATTTTAAAATTTTTTTTTTACTTTATATATTTTAATGTTTTTCTTTACTTTATATATTTTAATGTTTTTCTTTGTCTTGTCTTGTCTTGTCCACAATTGCCACACAGCGTAGTGGGGAGTCGCAGTTTTCTATCCTGGGCCAGGTGTGTTGCACGTGTTGTTGTTAGTCCGTGTTGACTCAGGATCTCTGATATATTGTCTATCCATCGTACTCTTAGTCTGCCTCTTGCTCTAGGGCAGTAGTGCTGTTCGTTGTATGCTCGTAGAGGCAGTTGGTCGGTTTGCATTCGCATCAAGTGGCCAAACCACTCTATTTGTTGCTTCTTTATGTATTGCAGGCATGGTGTGGTTCCTACAATTGCTCTAATGTTCTCGTTTCGAACTCTGTCTCTCCTTGTGACATTGGCAGCCTTACGTAAGCATCTCATTTCGCACGTCGTGATCTTTTTCTCCTGTGCTCTTGTTAGGGACCAGGTTTGGCATTGGTAGCAGAGGGTTGGTATAAACATGCAATTTATCAGTTGTCGTTTTAGCGCCATAGTGATGCTTGGGTGTTTAGCAGTGGGGGGAGTTGGTAAGTTACTGCGTTCGCCTTTTGACATCTTGCCTCAAGTTCCCTATGAATTATAACTCAGACGCCGTGAGTCGCCTTTTTATTCTTGTCTACTCCGCTGTATATTAATACGTAATTTTCATGTATTAATTTTGTACTGTGTCCTTTTCTTCTCAAGTCCGAAATCCCCAGTATTTCTATTTTGTATTTCTGCATAAATTCTACCAACTCCGTCTCCTTATCCCCTAGTCCGCTGACATTTAACGTGGCTGTTTTCATATTCCTGCGCGACCTCTTTGTGTTTACTGTGTTTAATGGCGGGCTGGTTGTCAAGCCCTTCGTCCTCCGATCTTTAATGGACTTTTTCATGTTTTTCTTTAATTTATATATTTTAATGTTTTTCTTTACTTTATATATTTTAATGTTTTTCTTTACTTTATATATTTTAAATTTCTTCTTTACTTTATATATTTTAATGTTTTTTTTTTTTTTTTTACTTTATATATTTTAATGTTTTTCTTTACTTTATATATTTTAATGTTTTACTTTATATTTTTTTTAATGTTTTTCTGTGATTAATTGGTGTAATTTGAAACATTAGCTGTCTCATGGTTTTTATATACTTTGGGCCTCGTCAAGTCTAAATCTGGCACCGGCGGACAGACAGACAGATTTATGTAAATCCATGAAAACATTTTTATTTTTTCATCATACTTTTGCTAAACACCTAAAATAAAGACATGAAAATAGATTCCTAGGTACAGACAGCCATTGGCTAGGGAAGACAACAATAAAGATGGGGGAACTGATAGAGATATTTAAATAAGAATACAAAAAGCAAGAGAAGCTTTCATAGCATTAGGGAATTTTGTGAGGTGGAAAATGGAGTGGAAACATAGAGAACAACTAACGCAATTACTAATAAACTACAGACATTCATTAACTGGTGCCTGCACAGAACAGAGGAAATTAAATGGTATGATAGAATCACTAATGTAGAGCTTTGAGGGAGAACTTAGCAAGCTCCAATGGACCAAGAGGTAAAGAAAAGACGCTGGCGTTGGTTAGGACGCACACTGAGAAAACCGGAGAACAATATAACTAGAATGGCTTTGCACTGGAATCCATAGGGGCATAGGAATAAAAGAAGGCCAAAAAACACATGGAGAAAGGGCTAGAGAATGAAGTTAGAAAGATAGGGAGTACATGGGGAGAGTTGCATGCGATAGTAAAAGATAAAACGACTTGGCGTGAGTTGGTTGAGGGCCTATGCTTCATTAGGGTGCTCGAAAGGCAGAAGAAGAAGAAGAATAGGGAAACAATATTCAAAGGGATTTAACTACAGCGCAAGTTTACTTTTACTGATTGTCGCAATAAACAAAGAAAAACAAAATAACCTGGGCCGGTAATATGGCTGATGAATTAAACATTGTAGTCATAAAGGCAAATAGAAATTTACGTATATTGGTCACAGTTGGGGGGGGGGGGTGTACACATCGTTTTTAATAAACACACATAATGTAGAAAGGGCGTGTGATTTATAGTAAATATGTCTCATAAGTGTTAAACTTGCATAAACAATTTCATAAATTTAAATTTAAATTTTTTTTTCTATCTAATTATCATGAATGGATCAAGTAGAAGGCAACTGATGTGTCACTGGTGGCACATGATTTTTTAACCCCCGAAAAGGTGAAATATTACAGTATGTGTACACCGTTTTATTTTAATACACGCAAGCAAACGTTTCCACCAAGAAAAAAAGTGAATAAGCAGTAGACATATATAAATTAAAATGAATAACATTTGTAGACATACCTATCTCAACATATGAATTATTAAACTTATTGTCCGGGTAATCAGCATCTGACAGCGTACATCCTCCAATTTTTTTACCCGGGGAAGTGTTTTCAGTAACATTAGTTATCGACAGGTTTGTAAAAGTTGCTTTATTGTCGTTGATGGATATTAGACGCACTAAGACAGTTAGGAAGGTGAAGTTTCCCTCCACATCGGTAACATTCACAACTACCTGTAAAAGAGATATAATATGTTAACATCCTCAAATGTGTGTTATGGGGTGTGTTCGATAACATTGTTTATCACCTGGTTTCTAATGGTAGCTTTATTGTCGTTGATAGACATCAAACGGACTAAAACACTTAGTAATTTGCCGTCTTCTGTTCCATAAGAAATTTTTACAGACACCTTCAAAATGGTTTGTAATATATTTTTTGTCGGTTTAGTTACTGTCGACTTTGTGGCATCAATTATTTGCGCACAGTAATTAAATTTGCATATTACGTCATATTTAAGCGCCTTGTAACCGTAAGTTTAAAGTATCACTGATATACACTGGTGTTTTAGTGACTGATCTTAGCTATAATCTCGTTAGGCTAATGGTGTAGCGGCTAGACGCTCGCATGCAGATCGGAAGCTCGTGTGTTAAGTTCCTGACAGGGCAAAACATTTGTTTTCTTTAAAAAATGACACTGGCTCCCTAGGTCGACGATGCCTCTCATGTCCGTGACATGGCAGTGACAGCCGTCAAATCTAGCTACTCCAAGGTCAGAATCCGCAATTTCCCTACAAAATCACTTCATTTTCACTTTGGGAACTTAAACACATAAGGGACTGCAATGTTAACAGTTTCATCTAAAAAAAAGTCTCGTGTTACGCCCCTTGGAATTCTCCGGCTATATATTCTCGTTCCTCTCGTGTCTCTCCATTCCACTGGCAAAACATGAACATGGCTGCTTCAGGATACGTCAGTTGAGTTGATTTTACTATTTGTATTATTATTTTTATTATCATTCTGATGGAAACGACGCTGTTGACGCACTCATTCCCTGTCCTCACTGTCCAAGAACTTTTCAGGCCCGCATCAGCCTTATCAGTCATCTTCGCACTCATACTTGATGAAAAAGAGTGGTCATCATCATCTTGATGGACAACACACACATTATTATTTCTGTGGTTTTCTTAGATTTATGTGTGTGCGTAAAAAGGCTCTGTACCGTAACGTTCACACATTTCGTTTGTGCTTGTTATATTGTGAAGCTCGCTGATCTATTTTTCGTTCGGTTTTATTTTTTCCATGATATTACCTAATATAAGAAGTGCAACATAAAATAAATTAATATTTACCCATTTTGGTTTACTATGAATACATCTATCTGTTTGGTCTTACTCTTTGAGACCCAAGCGGGTATTTAACCTAATCTCGTTTTTTCTTATGCTAGAGCTTATATGGTGAAATATTTGTTTAAAAAGTAACACTATCAAGGGTGAAAGTTATATAGTAAAATAATAAATTGTAGTAAAATCAGAATATACGGTGCAAGAATTGTAAGTAGTTAGTACCTGTGTATTGACATCAACAATCTAAAGCTGATAAATAATCAGGAGCTGACCGACCTTTAAGAATGTGGGTCGAGCACAATATGTCTGGTGCGCAAATTGCATACATTTCTTTACTATGCATTTTTTCGGATCATATCTTCGCCAGTGAGGTCACTTATTAAAATGTGCATATTGCCACTTCTTTGATTTACTATATCACTTTGACGTTTCATGTAAAATTCCATACTGGCAGGTTATCCTTATTATCTGTTGGTGCACAGCGGTGTATGAAACTTGTTGTTTTAAAAGCATTACACATCATTAGCTAATTGATTACCTGTGAGGGTGTGTTTCTTTGTTGCCCGAAAATACTATCTGTTTTATGTGTATTTAGGAAAGTTGAAGGTCGGTAACCATAGTGTAGGAAAGTTGAAGGCCGGCAACTATAGTGTAGGAAAGTTGAAGGCCAGCGAAGATAGGTTATACCTATACCTGCCACTGAAGGATCTGTACAGTTAGGAAAGAAGATGCAGATTAGTATTCAGGCGAACTGGGATCCCCCCTTGAGACTGATTTGTTAACACAGATTGCTCAGAAGTAGTGAGAATCTTGTCAGCTACAAATGCAGTGGTCACAGATACATAGAAGAGACGCCAATCTACTATAAGTGGCATGACAGTTAAAGCGCGAGGAATGTAAATTAAAACAGGGGGCATAGACATAAATCTTTCGGTTAGATGAAGCGAGACCAACAGAGCAGATGAGGATGAACAGGTAGGCGATTGGCAGAGATGTCACAGATTACCCGGCATTGAGTAGAGATAACGAGAAAGCAGGGAGAGAAACGGGAAGGAAGTCGGAACGAAAAGAGGACGAGTTAGTCAGGGCCAGGCGTTGAACATATCATTATGTTTTGATAATAAACAATCTTAACTTCGTATGAACTTTTTGACATAGTTGTTTTGTTACGCACGATAGACATACTAAGACTATCCTAATACCTGATTCCGTTAAGGAACACCTGACTGGGCTTGGGGTAGGCGGGGAGGGGGGAAAGGTCAAAAACTAGACAGTGTCACGGGTGCTGAGTAGCTCGTACTTGTAGTCTTCCACTGTGTTGTTGTACTTCGTCACAATATTCTGGCCTTTAATGTTACATTTACCAATCCAATTATGCTTTTTTTTTTTGGTGGGGGTGGGGGAGGGGGGGGGAAGAGGGGGGGGGGGGTCCATGTGGCGAAATGAGCTATCTGTTTGCCTCACTCTCTGAAGGTCGTAGGTTCGTTTCATATCTTCGTTGTGCAATTCACGAGTGCAGTTTTATTGAAATCGTGCGCGGAGCTACAGAGTTCGTACTTTATGTGATGCTTTAGGTTGATGGCTAGCCATTCTGCGAAGAGAGATCGAGCCATACATGATAAAACTAGGGAAATAATTTCGATCCTTTTGACTCTAACTGTATGGGTTTTTTTTTCCGAGTTCGTACATAATTGTAACCTTCCGTTGTCAATCGGAAGATCTTCTAAGGTAAACAGATTTATGTCGCTTGTGCGAGAAGTCGTATTTAGTGTTTGGTAGCTTATTTTTCTTTCCTTTTTTTTTACACGACATTCATGATTATTTGAATTTTTGTAGGTAACATTTAGTCAAGTTAAAGTCTCCATGCAACTGTTCTTTGAATTTTTGAGTAAAGCCCCGATAGTTAATACCGTTACAATTCTCTGTTTCCTTTACGGATCCTGACAATACACCTAGTTTACTTGTGACATTCTCTTCCAAAGTAGTACATAATATAGATTTCCTTGCCAAAACGACTGAGTTGAGTGCTTGTGACATTCTCTTCCAAAGTATACATAGTATAGATTTCCTTGCCAAAACGATTGAGTTGAGTGCTTGTGACAACACTCTAAGCTGTGTATTTTGTGTGCTAAACCTTTCGACTGTGCCTGGAGCGGTTTATGTTGTGTTTTTTAGAAAATGGAGAGTGGCCTGTTTGTTTTCGGGCTGGCGATGTTTCACAAATAAGTGTGCATGCGGACAACCAGATTATCGTGACTGACTACTTCCATCAACTACAAATTGCAAAATTAGTGGCGAAATGTTAGTATGGGCACCTCTGGAGACTGCTTTGTGCATTTATTGCTTGTGCGTGTTACTGGATTTTGTCTGACTAATTATGTATTCGCTAGTTTCAAATGCCACAGTGTAGGACATTTTGTGTGATTTTAACTAGCAATTATTGGGAGGAGGGGGGTGAGGGAAGGGGGCAGAAGTCGCGGAACCTCATTCTCCCTTCTATCTAAAAAGCGACACAAAAAAAGGAAGTGAAGAAGTGTGTAGGAAAAGAAAAATGACCGTGTTTACTTACTGTCCAAGGGTTAGCAAACTCTGATGGATCGCTGCTCAATTTAGCCTCTGCATCTGGTTTTTTTAAATGGAGTTGTGAACCTTGCATCTCAAACTCAGCTAGCACGTCGACGCCACTGATTGTGTAAGTTTCTCCATTAGCTTTAGGGCAGAAGTTGGCGACGTCGATCAGAAGTTTATCAACTGGAGTCACTTCCTCGGTAATATTTTGAAGGGCATAAGTCTGGTTGCACACTGGGCTAGAATTTGCACCTGTTAATTGTACAAGGAAAAAACAATGCCACCGTGTTAGCTCATCATATGTACAGAATTGTGTGTGCATCAATGTAAGCTACTGTGTTACCCATTTGTTTAAACACAAAAAAAAAACATGCAAGTGGCCCTCAGCGCCATGACAGCTTTTCTAGAGAGGTTTAAATTACCTAAGCCAAGTTTTAGTGTATAGTAATAGCAATAAATAAATAAGGAATAGTAATGTTCCAATATAGCAAAATAATATTAAGAAGAATAATATGGCAGATAATTAGACAAGAGAACTTCTATACAGAAATGTTCTTGGTTAAAAAAAAAGGGGGGGGGGGTATTACTGAATTCCTAGATGAACTTAAGGAGCCTACGCCCAAGATTCCATGGCCCCCTGGTGTAGTGATATTTATTCTATGCTATGTCATTTGTTATTTTAATTTATCGGCGATTGGCATGAACACACATTGGAATTCTCATGCTTACTCAGTTATTCGATGCAGTAGCCATCGTACTGTATCTTTACTGACAATTTCCATACTTAGTTCGCTATAGAATCTTGGGCTCTTACGCAATATCCTACTCGAAACAGGGAAAATCCACAGGTCACGGGATAGTCTAATATTTTAGGGGGTGGTAGATAGGCTGCACGCAGTCGTGGAACCTAGGCTGCATCCAGTCGTGGGACTTAGACTTCACTCTCTCGTGGAACGTAGCAGGATTGGGGTTAGGTCCAGTTCTAGATGTTTTCGGGTAGTTAAAAAAACCAGAAAGCCGGGAAACCCCGTCTTACCACACTCTAAAATACTGGACTGTCCCGTGGCGTCATCTGGGGTCGGATATTGCGAAAGAACCGTATCTTGTATAATAACCTCCAAAGCGACATAGACATGCTTCGCTATGTTTCACTTGCAAGTCATATACTGAGTTAGCATAATTTTTACCATTCTTTACAGCGTTAATTGTGCCAGCTCTGCCTATGCAAGTTTCCCCTTTAACTAGTGCCTTATCTACTAGCTGGTTCGCTCTCTCTTCACCCTTTACGCCGGAAAGCCTGGGTGTAAAGATCCCGATGAAGGAGGCGAAGCGTTACTTCCAAAGGATGTCTAACCATTATTCGAGGTTAGCGATATTTATCCCGAAACATGTTTCTTAAAACGATAGTCGAGTCCGTTCTAAATTTATTTCCAATCTTCACTTGTGTGTCAATTACCGTATACAGTGGAACCTCGCTTAACGAGCATAATTCGTTCCAGAATCATACTCGTTAAGCGAAACACTCGTTATGCGAAAAACTTTTTCTCATATACATTAATGTAAAATATGATAATGCGTTCCATGTCGAAAAAACTACTCACAAAATGCTATGTACAACGTTTATTTAAAGACAATTATATACTGTTTGTTAAGGAGAGTAAATTCTCTTCATCTTTTCTTTAAAACCGGAACGAACCCACCTGCAAAAAAACAAAAACAAAAATGTCGAAATAATTATGACACATAGCTAATTATAGGGATGCTAGTGAAGTTTTATATTTTAGGTTTTTACTTACTAAATCATGACAGCTAGATGAAGATTAAAATTACAAATCCAATGGTACATCATTTAAGCCTGTAAGTCGATTCTGAGCGGAGATACTAACATTTTAGTGGCGGATACCACCACACAAAAGAAGTATAGTGGAAATGGACAAAACATGGATTCCCGGCTGCAACCAAGTAAGATGAAATGACTCAATTTTTGCATTTTACGGCCATAACTTTTTTGTTTCTGAACGAATCCCTTAGAATCCGGACAGTGAGACCTAACTGTTTATGTATGTCTCAAATACAAACACTACAATATGAGCCTATTTAACATATGAAAATGTCCGCAGGCTGATTATTTTTCATCAAAACCTCATACTTCTACAACGAGCCTGGCCTAATACATATCATATTGTGTGTCCTGGCAAGGCGAACATAAAGATCATATAAATGTGCCAATGTCAGTTAAAGTGACCTAATTAACAAATGCCGGACCCTGCTCCACCCTCCTCCCGTAAAAGGTATGTCACCCGGGTTAGTTGTTTCTCCGCATAGTAATGACACCCAGGGTAGTTGCACCCCCCCCCCACCCCACAGTGATGATACCGGGGTGGCCGCACCCCCTTCCTGCTACCTTCTCCCCCTGTATCTTCTTCTTTCTTTCTTTTTCCTTCCCTTTCTTTTTCCCCATGTCTTTCTTTTCTTAGTCTCTTTTTCTTTCTTTCTCTCTCTTCTTCCTGCTCACCCTCTTTCTCAACTTTCTCTCATTCTTCTACTCCCCTTCCCCCAACTCTCCGTATGGTAAAAGAAAACATGAGCCCACTGGTAGTACACGTCCTGTTTTCATAATGGGTCAGTGACAGTGTTCAAAACAGGGCAAACACAACAGGTGTGTTCATTTCTGAGAATCAGGTCAGACCGGATTTTCTTTTCTTTCAAAATTGACCTTGGCTCCCACGTCCATCCAGCACTGAATGTAAGAAAGGGATCTATAGCAGCCACACGCGGACAGCCAAGCATGGGAGGGTTGCCAATAGGGTTTTTGTCAAACCCGAAGCTAAGCTGACCAAAAACCCAAGCAATATATAAGCCAAAAAAAAAAAAAATATATATATATATATATATATATATATATATATATATATATATATATATATATATATATATAAAAAGATTCAAAAATCTTAACCCAAGGTGTCGTATAAAAACTTAATTCTTGGGGAAAAGCACAAGTACTGGCAGGCCTGATGCACGGGAACGCGGTCAGCGCTGCTGTTGTTTCTCGACCACTTAGATTTACCAATTCCGACAGAAAATTCCGTAGATTCTAAATAATAACAGACGCATTAAAAAATGCTACAAGAGTTGTAGATGTTTAAAAAGTAGCTCACTTAACATTATTAATTTACTAAATATCTTAAGTTAATTACTAAAGAAACATCTTAGAAAATGCGAAATGATGGCCGAAATTAATTATTGGGATTTGGGGGTGATCAGGAAAAAATATACCCAACACAAAATACGCAGAGCTCTGAATAATGACCGATGCATGAACAAATGCTACAATGGTTGTGGATTTTTTAATTATAAATCGGGACAAACGCTCTCCTAGTGCAAACCACGGCCAGCTCCAGATTTATAGAGTTTACAGCCAATGTTCGCGAAGCAAAGCAAAAGCCAGTTTACAAAAATTAACACAGACCGTACAACTGCCAATATGCAAAAGAAGTGGATGAACTACCAGAAGTTTCCGCAAGAGTTTACAGCCAGTGTTCGCGAAGCATAACTCAAATGGTTAAGGATTAATATTATTAGTGTACTTCTACAACATATAATTATACTGTTAGTCAACAATTAGTAAAGAGGCAAAGAGTGACTTGCTGTGATAGGTTAGTTAGTAAATTAAATATTATTTTTATCCACTTACCTAGAGCTCCGAAATATCTTGACACAATTTATCCACAGTGTGGTTGCACCATTTATGCACAGTCAATATGAAAGCAATAGTTTTCTTCAAACACAAGATAGCTTGCACCTGACAACTGTCGATATTCTCCAGATATGGCTTCTAAATTACCTGTTTGTAATATCTCTAAAAGTAGGATTTCTACATTTAAAGTAGAAAAGTAATAAACAGCCAGTTTCCAAAAATCCGAACTACTGACTAGAAACAGTGACACTGACACTCACATCACAACACGACTGTCTCCCGTAAATTACAATTTTGGAGAGGAAAGGTTTGAGGACGAGAGATCGATGGATGGCTCTGGCCATTATCATTCAGTGAAGATTTATAAAGTATGCCCATTTGTATGTCCTTAATTTATTAATGTGGAATCCAAGGTGGTCTAGTCGATAGATGCTCTGACTACCGGTCCAAATGTAGACGGTTCGAATCCACACTTTGTCAGGTAGTACTGACATTGGTTCCCAGGTCCACCAAACTTAAAATTGGTACTAGTGAAGTCGGCGTCATGTTGGCCAAGTGACCCATCGAGGATGATCTATAAGACTATAAGTCCAGCACCATATGAATGACAGGTCACTAGCGTAAAAGGGTCCTTTACTTACTTTTTTTTTTCACTTCTTGAAGTCTATGCCGTGTGGCGTTGGTAGTCGTGTCTATTCACAAACTTCCGTATAGTGTATTTTCAATGACATCTGACACAGATGAACCTCCATGCCAGGATCTCAAACTGTCCAGAAACTGTTCTCTTGGTCTCCCTCTGCCTCTCCTCCCTTCCAACTTCCCTACTGTCACGATGTACTCCACTTTCTTCCTTTCTATCACATGATAAAAGAATTTAGATGGTCTCTTTCTGATGTGGGCAGTCAGTTCATTCGTTGGCACCTTTCCGTCTTTCCAGACGATAGTGTAATATTGCTCTATGAGGAGGCATGAGACTCACAGCCCACGGCGATGGCGAGTGTGACTAGCAAGACCCGCCCGTGTTTTGTTTCTGAGACCGATTAACATGTTTTTTTTTCCTAACAAGACGACTATGATTGTCTCCTTCTGATATTTCAGATAAGTTATATTTTTTGCCTTGCCTTTTTTCAGCACATTCGATATTTTTTTTTTTTTTTTTTATTGAAGGAATCGTAAGCATTCTTCTGCAAAACCACATCTCCTAAGAGTAAAGAAATTACTTAGCTCGTTTATTAATTGCTCAGGATTTACAACCATATCTTAATACTGGTTCTTTAGTATACCCTAACTTAATGCTATATATTTAGCGATATGAAACACATTATGTGGGACACATGGGTAAAACTCAGTCAGGCATGGTGAGTTGTTTGGTTGAAAGAGTTAATTTTCCAGGAACAGAGAGGTCAGAGAGAGAGAGAGAGAGAGAGAGAGAGAGAGAGAGAGAGAGAGAGCGAGAGAGAGCGAGAGAGAGAGAGAGAGAGAGAGAGAGAGAGAGAGAGAGAGAGAGCGCGAGAGAGAGAGAGAGAGAGAGAGAGAGAGAGAGAGAGAGAGAGAGAGAGAGACTGAGATTGAGAATTTACGAAAGAAAGAAATGGATGTTCACACAAAGCTCGGGTTTTGGAGCAAGACTAAAGCCCAGAAATGGATGAATAACTTGAACTATCCGCCGAAAGTTACAATGAACCAACGCCTAGAAGAAGCAGAAGAAGCTTTCTACGGAAGGAAAACATAGACCTGATATGATAAAGAACATTTAGCCTGTTTCTCTGTACTTAATACTAATACTGTGGTTCCATTTTCCTTAATGATATTTAAAAATAAAAAATATAATAACTCGATTCACTTACCTGAAAAACAGTAGATAAACAAAACAAAAAGGAGAGCTGACCGTAGTGTCTTCATTGTCTTAAGTGTTGCCAAACGATGCACTCTAATTGTTCTGAAATGTTTAATATATTTGCAGATTTTTTTTTTTTTTTTTTAACAACATGATATGAAAAGACTGGATTAGTGCGTAAAATATGCTTGCTTACTTAGTCAATCTTCTTCTACCCTAGAGTGTAGAGATTTGCCAGAGAGATCGCCAGCCTTTTCTGTCAGCAGTTTTCTTTTTGGCTTTGTTCCATTCTAGTCCTATGTCAGTCCGGGACTGTCGGATGTTGTCTTCTTAGTTCAATATCATGGTCTAGTCCATCAACTTTGGCATCTCTCATCAACGTTTGTTTTGGGGTTTGTTCTGGGCGTCCTCGCTTCCTTAATTCCTGTATTTCCCATTTCAGTGCCTGTTTGGTGGTTCTTTGCTGGTTTTTTCTCAGGAGGTATACAGTGAAGCGCCATCTTCAATGTCTTATAACTATTGATACTAGTGGTTGCCCAGACATTTCTCTTATTTCTTCACTCCTTTTAAATTCAATCCTATTTATTTTCGTCATTTTTCTCCGATGTTTGTTTTCGAATGCAATAAACTTTTCTTCCATGTCTTTAGTGGTTCTCCAACTTTTACTTTTATGTTAAAATTGAAATAACTAAAGAAATGAAAATACGTAAATTGGTTTCAAAACATTACAATTTAGAGCTCCATATTTTATTCAAGCTAGTAAAAGCTGCTGATGCCGTCTTTCTAAAATACACTCACACATTTCAGTAATGTTTCTCAAGTTTATGTTTGTGTAGATATTTGGATTTCCTAATGATAACTAATGACATAGATTAAACAGAGTAACAGGTTTTTGTCTTGTGGAGCAAATATTTCACGTGCGGTTATCAAGTGGCTATGGTGACAAACCTTCCAGTGGCCACTGGCAGGGGGCACACAAACCAGCACAATTAAATCGATCTCTAGTAAGCAGTGTCGCCTCGTAATGCCGGGGTACCAGGTTCAATTCCAGCTGCGGGCCTTGCGCCTTGTGTTGGTTTCGACAGCGATATCGAGAAGCCGACCGTCCAGCGTGCAATGGAAAACTACTGGACGTAAATTTGCTTAAAAACACCCAACAGCCAATTCTGGTGTTGGTTCTGCAATGTCCTGTAAAGGATGTGCAACTAACATGCAGTAAGCAGTGTTGCCTTAAAGCACGGTTCCGCAGTGCAATTATCCGGTGGCCCCACGAACATAAGGCCCGATGCTAATCTGTGTATGTCAAGTGACTGGCCTCTGAGTGGCTGTCGTAGGAGCACAGCAAACTTATTTACAAAGAGCCTATAATGTCCGTTAAGACGGCTCTGCTAATAAGACCAATTACGCACACTACACGCTTTAAATTTGGTCTTCTATTGCACTTGAATTTGTGAGTAACTGTGTGTTATACGATAATAAAATTCACGATATAGTTTTATATTAGTATTTTTTTCTATTTTATCTCTAAGTCTATTCTGCTTTTCAGCGTCAGGTTTTGAAGAAGCCTCTGGGCTGATATATATCTGGAGCTGGTCATGGGTAGATGTTAGTATTGACGGATCTAGCTGTTACATCCACTTATCACTTGCTGTGTGGGAGACCTGTGTCCTTGCTTTCGTTCTGCCAAGTGACAGGGTACTTGTGGTACTCTTGACACATGTCCGAACCATTTGAGCTGTTGTCTCTAATTAGCAAAGCACTAGCTCGGTCACAACTTGTTTCGCGATTTAAATATATATATATATATATATATATATATATATATATATATATATATATATATATATATATATATATATATATATATATATATATATATATATATATATAAATTAATGTTTGTGTGTTTGGTTTGTTACCTATAGACTCGGAAACGACTAAACCGATTAAGCTGAAATTTTAAGGATATTTTTGTTTTGATACGGGGATTCTACCTTTCATGGTTTGAAATAGCTGGCGACGTTCGTTAGGAAAATATTTTCATTTGTGACATTAAATTAAAGCCACGTTCGGAAATACTCATGCGCAGTAGTCGGAATGCACGACTTCCACAATTCGCCGGTGTGGTACAGCAAACCAGACAATCTCTATATCTGCACAGACAATGATTGCAACATTAACCGTGTTAGACACGTTCGAATTCTATTGTTGTGCCGTTTCAATAATACTTAAAGTTTATATCTAGGATATCTAATGAGAAAACTATTTCCTGCGGTTTTGAGTTGTGTTAGAATCGGGAAACAGTAGTCAGGACACACATCTCAAATATTATTGTTCTTTGTGTGTGTGTGTGTGTGTGTGTGGCTTAGAAGGAGTGGTTTGTTAGCCGAACGGTTAGAACGCTGGGCTCTCATGCGGGAGTCCAGGGTTCGAATCTCTGGTAAGGAGTTTAATGGGTTTTTTTAGAGGGTGCAAAATAAAATTCTATCCTTCACTGTCGTAGCGACAGCACTAGCCATGCGGCCCTAAATACTAAAACAAAAGTACAGGTTTGTGGGTAAACCAGTTGATAATTAAATTTGACCATTTCACACACTTATGATTTCATTTTAAACTTACTGATTGCATGTTTACGTTGAATTTTAATAGATTTCCGTTTATTTTCATTTTGATTTAATTATTTCGTCTGAAACTACGTTGGAATTGGGCTATGTTGTTTACCACCTCAATTCCTGCTCCCCATTTTAGTCCGGATGGACAGGGATATCAGGGTCAGTTACAAAAAACATCGTCAGGTGATGTCTTTCAAATCCTTCGTAGAGGGAGAGAGCAGTAGTCGGTGGATGGGGGAGGGAAGAGGGTCATGGCTGAAATTGTTAACATAAAGAACTTAATACATGATTTTAAAGTCTTTATTTCTTAATTTGTTTATATTGTACTAACGCTACCACCATTATTCTCATTTTTTTACGACTCACTTGGTTTTTTACAAGTACAGTGGTAAGCTTTACTTCCGTCTCTTAAAAAAAATACAAACAGCTTTAGCATGTGATAACCAAATAACCATTTTTTTATACTGTCCTAATAATACCATTTTAACGACCACTAATAGGCTATAAAGACACAATTATATGTTGCGTGTTCTAAAGTCGGCAAACCAGACTATCTCAATATCTGTGCAGACAATGATTGCGACATTAACTATATTAGACACGTGCGATTTCTATTGTCTTTTTTTTCAAAGAACCTTCGATGAGGGACAGAGTAGTAGGTGGATATGGGGGAGGGGGCATCGAAGACTATCTCAATATCTGCGCAGACAATGATTGCAACAGTAACCATATTATACACGTGTGATTTCTATTTTCTTTCTTTTCTTTTTAGCTAAATTATGCCACAGAAACGCGTGGCAGCGTATAGCTAGTATGTTATAAAAGATATTTCCAATATGGCTCAGCAATCATATTCGTCTACAGATTTGCATTAAACAAAACCGGGAATGAGATTTTTAAAACAGTTGTTTCTAATACTAAACAGAAATTAGCAAATCATATTTCTCTGACACTACACTAAGATTCACATTACAGCATTGTTTTACACTACATAGAGGTTCACGGCCTAGCTTCGTTTGGCACAATACACAGATTTGAAATGAAGTTTATATATAACTGAGATTATCAGTGTAGTTGTGCTGAATGCTGCTCTTAGATTCACAGATAAGCCTATCTAGTTTCAATATTGCTAAACAGGACAAATGCACTATACATGGCAGCCATGGAAGTGCAGTAATAACTATGCCTCCCGACGGACTGATAGCCAAGTAGTGAAGTTCTTTTTGAGAAACTAGCCTAGGTTGTCAGGTAGACCCATCCTTGCATATTAGAGGGAAATGTTCTAAAAATTAAAGGCGGTCTTCTAAAATATAAAGTTAGCACCATATATAACTAATTTACTCTTAACGTGATGAAGAAGCTTCTTTTACTGTACTTACTTTACTTCGTGTTTAATCCAGGTTTCTGAAATACCCTGCACACATAACCGCCTGCTACTTTCAAAAGACGGACTGTCAATACCTAGTTAAATCACCACCAGAGAACTGCTAGATTACACATAATAACGCTTCATACGTTCCCATAAGCAGCTACGTTTAACGCACATCCACACAGCCAGAACAAACAACCATACTACAAGTAAATCCACGTGAACCAACACTTGTCACAGTATGCTCAGATTTATACGCCCAATATACACAGCGTCGATACAGATCACTAGTTTGGCTAACCGTGTTTTTATTAACTATGAATTATTTATAATGTTTGGTAAACGAAATTTGTTTACCTTGACTACAGGAACACACAGTGCTGTTCGGATGTCAAACGGTAATGTTGTATTCATTCTATCCAAATTTCAAAGAGTGAATTTTCTTTTTCCATTGTTTCACTATGAATAATTTTGCACATTAGAAAAATATATTCCATTCGTAAATAGTTAAACTCAGAACTCATATGTAATAGCACTGTTACAGCTAACAAAACAACTGCTTAGCCTCTCGAACGCGACAAGAGTTGAGGCCAATTCGCCCACACAAAAGGTGGCATTCATTGGCAAGATCGATCCGTCAGCTGAATGAAATGTCCCAGATCGGTCTCAAACGGCAAGCATTTGGCCATTTGTAACGTTCTGAATTATAGAAACAGCGTTAGGCAGCAGTGCTTACCTAGCTCTGACTTTAGTGTTTGTATAGAAACATGTCTACACAGTACGGAAGTTTAAGAAGTTTTTCCTATATACAAAAGCAATTAATCACAGAGGTTTTAAAAGAGGGTTGCTGAGGGACATCACACGAAACGACGAGTAAACTATTTTGGCTACATTAAAAGATCGTAACACTCTTATAAAAACTTTAATGGAGAAAAACATTGAAGACATCAGAGCAGGAGGCAGAAATCAATACATGTGGAGGGTAACACGAAGAGATGGAGGAAGCGAAGTCTCAAAGAGTACACATCCAGAGCGATAGACGAAGCCAGTTGGAGATATATACAGTCAATGAAAACGAAACTTG